AAGTTCCAATTGGAATTATCAGAATTCCTAGAATGAGTTCTAAGAATTAGAATAATTCGAATTGGAATTGATAGAATTCCCAGAATTAATCGAAATATTCGAATCATATTAATTCCAATAATTCTAATTGGAATTCTGAGAATTATTGGAATTATTTCCAGGAGCTTTAAGAATCGATTCCTTGCCCCCCTGCTCGCACGGATCGTGCTCTAACCTCCAGGACACGCTCCCCATGTTTCAAAGCAACGCACGTGCAATAATTCTTAGAATTAAGTCTCGAAATTTCAAGAATTCTAATCAATCACTCCATGTTTCTCTCTTGGTCTCGCACACACGCACACACATTTAAACCCGAGGGGGGTCTCTGACTATTCGGGTTGGGCGCTCGCGTCCGCGGCTCGAGTGCGGTGATCGAGTCACACGGCAAATGGCTTCCCTCTAGAACCGAAAACGTACCCGACCATTCCCGTCTTCTTTCCCCACCCTTCCTTCCACAGTTAATAAAACTCAGGGTTTTACAGATAACCGTCTATACCCAAGAAATATTGACCCCATCCAAGAAGCATGATTTCTCTCACTCACTTATCTTTGTCTCATCTCTTTGTCCCTTCACCCGTCACTTTAGGTTGCTAGGAAGTGAGAATGGAGGGTGAAGGGGGTGACAGGTAGGAGATAAAGAGATGGGTGGTAGCAAAGGAATTATTGCCCCGCCTTATGGCATAGCTCCCGGGGGTCCCATCCCTGACCAACTTCGCCTCGTCCGAGACAAGTAGAGAGGGAATCCCATCCCATTCCCTTCTTCTATCCCTACCCGGTCGTCTAAGGAAGGGAAAGAGTGGGCAATGGTCCATTCCTAATCCCACTATCCCCCATCGCTTGCTCTCGCATATCCATTCTTTCTCTCCGTTCATTTACCTAGCATGCGACTCCACGAGCTGACAGGTGGTAGAGAGAGGGAAGCGGACGGTTAGCCCGCAGTCACATGTAGACAAGATGTTGGTGGGTGAAAGAGTTAAAAAGCCCTTGGCTTCGTCATCCTGTTCCCTTTAATCTAATGCAAGTTGATGAGGGAATGGTATGAAGAGACGAAAGGATGAGATGAGATAATGAAAGCGAGCCCCTCTTCCTCCCTCGCCGAAGCAATTGGCAAGGGAAGAGGACAAGGAAGAGCGAGTCCATTCCCTTCGCCCACTCGCTTTCCTACGTCTGGGATAGATAGCGTGAACGCCATCCACAATATTTCCCTAATTAACAAGACAATGCTAGCATATGCTGAATTAACTCCTCATGTTACATAATTATAAACCTAAGAGGGGGCCAGGGAAAAAGTAAAAAACCATGCAATTCCTGAAAAATATTCTTCGACACGCAAATCATAAGATGTCGTGAGTAGTAGAACGAAAATATTTAGCACGACAATACTAGACTTCCTTTCTTTTCAGTTGTATCATTAGAATATTTGGCTTTTCTTTTTACTATGGTCTTTTTCTCAGTATGCAATGTCATCTTTATGCTTGTAACTCCTGTTAACAATCCCATATTCTGAGATCTTATAACAAATCTTTTGTTGTTTCTCTATGAGAAACTTTCCAAAATGTACGACGAGAGAATGGGAAGCCCTTCCAAACTGAGACAATGAACAAGAAGATGTGTTGAAAAGCAACCAAGGATTTCACAGATAACCGTCTAGACCAATAATTATTGAACACTAACTGTCAAGGAAAAAACGAAACCATCCAAGAGGCATTATGTCCCTCACAAACCTTCACTCACTTATCTCTCTCTCTCATCTATTTATCCCTTCACCCGTCACCTTAGGTTGCTAGGAATTGAGACTGGAGGGTGAAGAGGGGGTGACAGGTAACAGATAAAGAGATGAATAGTAGTAAAGGAATTATTGCCCCGCCTCCATTCATATCTTATGGCATAGCTCGGGGATCCCATCCCTGACCAACTTCGCCTTGTCCATGCTTAAGAGGCGAGACAAATAGAGAGGGAAGCGGGGGGGGGGGATCCCATTCCCTTCTTCTATCCCTACCCTTCCTTCCATAGTTGGTAGTCTGTGGGTAAAAGAAGGAAGGGAAAGAGTATGAAGAGAAAGGGGTGGTGTGTGATGGAGAGATGAGAGCGGGCAATGGTTCATTCCTAATCCCGCTCTCTCCCGTCTCTCTATCCCATCGCTTTCTCTCGCATATCCTTGACTTCGTCATCCTGTTCCCTTTAATCTAATGCAAGTTGATGAGGGAATAGTATGAAGAGACGAAAGGATAAGATGAGATAATGAAAGCGAGCTCATGTCCCATCTCCTCTTCCCCTCTTCCTCCCTCGCAGAAGCAATTGGCAAGGGAAGAGGACAAGGAAGAGCGAGTCCATTCCCTTCGCTCGCTCGCTTTCCTACGTCTGGGATAGCGGTTAACCTTTGCATTTCCTTTCGCGCGCCATGAAGCCTCTCACTCCGGGGTTAGGGAATTGATGGACATGGTTGGTTCCTCAATTCTCAAACCGTTTTGTTAATTGTGGAACGAGAATTTTGCGAAATAAATGTCAAGAAATGTAAATCCCTTGTTTTCTTCATCCCCGTTCCTCGCTTTCAAATATCCTAGAAGTGAGAGTGGAAGAGTGAATGGAGGTGGACTGAGGGGATGCAGCTCTGTCTTCTCTTCCCAGCCCTCCCCAACGCTCGCTGTCTCTCCCTCACCTATCCACTGTTGATGGTTGATAGGCTTGGGAGTGGATCGGTGGCGAGGGAGTGAGTGTAAGTGTGTGTGTGTATCTCTCTCTCTCTCTCTCTCTCTCTCTCTCTCTCTCTCTCTTTCTCTCTCTCTCTCTCCCTCTCTCTCTCTCTCTCTATCTTGTTCAGCGTCACCCTTTCCACTATCTTGTTACTTGTTGTAAAAAGGGAGATGTGAAGAGGATAGGAAAGGGGTGCGTCTCTCACCATCAAATAGAAATAGAAGGGTGTTAAGGACAATAATTGTAAACGCTTCGCGTTGCCCGCCTCGGCCCAGCCTAGTTTGAGGGAAGGGTCAGGAACACCGAAATCCAGTGTTGGGAAGGTCCGAATACCTGAAGCTGGCTCCAGACAAGTCAGACAAGCCGGCCTCGCCTGGTTGGGCTGGGCCACAGGCTAGTCTCAGACACATCAGATAAGCCTGCGCTGGGCCTGAAGCTAGGCTCGGGCAGCTTGGCTGGACCTTGCTTGCGTGGGTTGTTGGTTGAGCTGGGCCTGAAGCTAGTTTACGGCGGGGTGGGCAGCCGCACTGAGGGGGCTGGGCTATGGCTGGGCTGGGCCTGAGGCCAGTTTCAGACAGGCCTGGCCAGCAGGCGGACTGGGCTGGGCTAGATGCTAGTTGAGCCCAGGCTGGTGAGGCCCAGTCTCGGAGATAGGCTGAGGCCTGCGAGTCTCAAACAGGGTGGGCTTGGGTGGGGTTGGCTTAGGCGGGTTGCTGGTTGGGCTGGGCCTGAAGCTAGTCTCAGCCACAAGGCTGCGAAGCCACGGGTGGGTTGCTGGCTGCTGGGCAGCCGGACTACGCTGTTGGTTGCGCCTGGAACTTCGGCTGGGCGGGCTGGGCTGAGCACATTGGGCGGGTCGCTGGATAAGACACGCCAGCAGGCGGGCTGAGGGACTGGGCCTGAGGCTAGTCTCAGGCTGGCATACCTTGAGACCAGTCTCAGACTGCCCTGGTCAGCCGGGCTGCTTAGTAGCTGGCATAGCTTGAGACCAGTCTCAGACACGGCACGCTGGGCTGAGCCTTGCCCTGAGATGCCGGGGCCTGGGCTGGGCAGGCTTTGGGCTGGGCCTGAAGCCATGGATGGGTTGCTGGCTGGGCTGAGCTGTGCTTGGGCGGGTTGCTGGATGGGCAAGGCCTGTTTCATACACACTTGGCCCTGAGAGGCTGGGTGGCAAGTTGCTGGCTGGCTGAGGCCAGTCGCAGACACGTAAGACACGAGCAGGCGGGCTGAGGGACTGGGCCTGAGGCTAGTCTCAGGCTGGCATACTTTGAGACCAGTCTCAGACTGCGCCGAACTGCTGGATGACTTGGGGCCAGACGCGAGCAGGAGGTCAAGGCCTGGCCAGCCTGGGCTGAGTTGCTTGGGCAGCCGGACTGAGGGGCTGGGGCGCGTCAGACAGGCTTAGTAGTAGCTGGCATATCTTGAGACCAGTTTCAGACACGTGAGACTGTTGGCCTGAGGCCAGTCTCAGACACGTCAGACAAACCTGACCTTGGCACGCTGGGCTGAGGGTGGTGGGCCTGTTTCAGACAAGCTTGGGAGTGAGGCTGGGTGGGCTGGGCTGACAGGCCTGGCCAGCAGGCGGGGGGGGGGCGGCCCGGCAAAATTTTGGGGTTGGGCGGGGGGAAAAGCGAAGATTCTCTTTGGAGAAGAGATCTGAGCGCCCTTGGCCCCTTTCGGGCCGAGGCGAATATCCTTTCCCATTCCTCCAATTTTCAAGATTCCTGAATGGGGTTGGATAAGGAAATGGGAGAGGCTAACCTCATCCCGTTCCTACGTCTGAGATTGCGGTTAAGCTTTTTTTGCTTTCGCACACCGCAACCGCATGTCTTAATCAAGGGTTTCATGGCGGGGCAATCCCAAGAGCAAGAGCTTCCTTGATTGGCGGTTGAACTCAGAGATCGATTTGCGAGCGCGCCCTCAACCTTCAGCCTCTCTTTCCTCTCCCCATCCGCCTCAGTCTTCTCTGTGAGGCATGAAGGGGCGGGATGAAGAGAGAGGGTCAAGTCAGGACAAGAGCTGAATGGACAAATGTTCCTAAAAGGTCCCTGCCACATATATATATATATGCACTATATATGTATATATGTACAGGTATTGTAATGTGTGTGCATAGGTTTGTTTACCAGTTCTCTTTTTCTGATCAGGGTGCTACTCCATTGGACTCCAACTTCAATGCTGCCCTGGTTCGCGCACCCAGCCACATCTTTCACACAAACACACACCCGGAGTTTGGCGGGTGGGAGATCACTCGCAACGAATGGTAGGTCCTAGAGCCGGGCGCGGCTGCCCCTGCGGCCATGGTCTGGCTACAAGCGCAGGCGTTGGGGGAAGTTTGGACCGCTTCCTATTGCTTCCTTTTGCTTCTTTTGGTAGTGTTTTCTGAGGAAAGTTGCTGTCTACAGCAAACACATGCTCTTGGTGATGTACTGGGATCACATGGCACCCCAAAAGTGTCCCCCCCCCTCCCAATCCAAAAGGAAGTTCCTTCACATTTGGGCGCTTTTCAAGTTCTGTGCTACTTTTAGTGGAGTACTAAGCGCCGAGAAAATCTAGGCCAGAATGTGCGGTCAACACCAGGGAATCTTATGTGTGTTCTTTGTTCAAAGTGCAATGCTGAGGGAGCCATGGCATGTGTTGCGCGTTCTTCATTAATGCGGTATGAACCCCAACACACCTTTTGGGCTTATTTGACGTAAAAAGGCTACAAGAGCTGTTTCCCTTCAAGGCTGTTACAATGAGGAAGACAACTGCTGCTGAAGATGACCTGAAGGAACTCGAAACAGCAGGTCCGATCCCGAGAAAAGATTCCTTTCCAGAAGGATGGCCCTTGGTTCCCAAACTGAGGTGCCACAAACCCCATTGGCCATTTTGGTGGGTACTTGGTTGCATGGGGGTTTTATCGAGGGCGGACAAACCTTTAAGCCGTCTTGGTAGAAACCAAAATCAATGGGTTTTGGTGGTGCTCGATTGCTTGTGGACGACGGGAAGTTGATTGTGATCCCTGCACGTGCCAGGCGTCTCAATCAAGGGTAACGACTGCAGCCAGACTAAGGCCTAGCAGACTTATGGGCAAAGCAATGGTGAGACTCCAAACAAGCAGAACCCTGCCTTGCAATTGGAAGCATGACCATTTCCTTGGTCAGCTGAAGCTGACCAGTTCGCCTTCCAAATGAATGCGCCGGGAACACATTCAGGGCATTTCTGGCCAGGAGGGCAACGCAGCTGAGTGCTACTTCACCTTGCACTACGAGACCCTGCGGCCAGCCGATGTCGGCAGCCAAGTGCGGCAAGTGTTCTTGACTCAGCAACATTCCAGGTCCAGTGATTCGAGTGTGCTACTCCGCCCCTCCAAGTCAGTTGCATATCCAGTGGCTTACCGTTGGAAGGCAACCGGTTGATGCCAGATGCTCTTGGCCTCCAATGATGGATGCGTCGTTTAAGTCACTGAGCTTAAGAGCTACATTGTTTCTTCGCCAAGACGCAAGTGCTGCAGGGTTTTGCTCAGTTAGCCGAGTTGTGTGGCGCCTTGAATTTGTTTAAGATGTTGTATTGCTTGCCTCATCCATGTCGTTCCGAGGTGCCATCGCCTTTCCTGGTGGAGGCAGGAAGGGTACCCCATGACAGCTATACTTGAAAGTTGGAAAGCAGGGCGATGGGCCTCGATTTCTGTGTGACTTGGGTGCTCTTTTTTGACACTTCTCCCGACCTCGCGCCCCCACATACAATTGCCAGCACATGAGACCTAACCCTCGGGATATCGCTTGCCCCGATGCAGAGACCCTGAGCCGATGCCATTTGTGTTTCACCTCTGGGATCTCGCAATGATCCTCTTTCTGGGGCTTTAAAACGCTGGGCCAGGGTCAATGGCAACCATTCCTGCTTATGTTCTTTCCCCTTTTGCGAGAGCCCTGAAAGTGGCAGCAAATCATGGGAGTCCACTTGCCAGGCTGAGTACATATGTTCAAATCTTAGGTTAAATCTTGGTGAACTAGTTTAGTCAACTTCCCCACATCAAGAGTGGGCAATTTCATTTGAGGAAATTACAGCCACCTCACAAAGAGGGTTTGTGAGCGCGCGCATAGATCAGGGCTGCCTAGGATACACGGATACATGGATACATGGCCTCTTTTTTCGTTTACTCAATTCTCTTGTTTGGCAAAAGGCAAACGATCTGAGCAAGTGACATTGCCATCTCACAAAGGGAACATTGATAAACTCTTTGGGCCAATTCAAGAGTGGTCAACCGCTCAATCAATGGAATCGTTGGAATCCACCGGTAAAATTCGGCTAGTTTGACCGCGCGCAAGTCCAACAGAGCAACTGACCAAAACAATATGGAAGTCTATTTCTTAGTTTGGGGAGACGGGGGGGACGAGAAGCCACAACACGATCAGGGGTTGACTCCACCCGGTTTTCCCCATCTCTTGGTGAAAGTTGTGTATTTGTTTGGTCCGTGCTCAGCAACGAAATCGCCAACGGCGCCAGGTGCCTGCCTTGACTGCCACGGTGGACAGCCTCTCTTTGGCCTTCCGCCCCACGAGTCGGCACACCGCGGCTCTGAAAGCTGATGCCTGGAGGCTGCCGGCCGGAGCACCAGCGGGGCACTGGCAGGGGGGGGGGGCTGTTTGCCCAAAACATGTTGGGAGTACCTGATAATGTCGGGGTTTGTGCCGTTGCAAAAGTTCGAGGTGATGCTAACATTGTAAAGCACTGATTGCCTTTGTTTTGGGGGCTCCCCTTTTTCGAGACTCACCCAAACTTGCATTTTGATATGAATTAGAAAGGCAGTGACAAGATAGTCATGGCGAATCAAAGGATGATTGCCAAAATTGTTTGCCCACATCCAAGGTTCTTCACACATCTTGTTTTTTTCCAGGAGCTCTACGAAGAGCATCCTTTTCCTGTACTCACCCCCCAAACAAACCAACAAGGGGAACGGGGTGAACTCCGCTGAAGTGCACTTGCGGCATTCGCTGCCCCGCTCGCAGTGCGGACCTGGAGCTTTGTGCCTGGCCGGCGGCCCGAGCCTCGGTGCGCTCGATACCCGCTGATGGCCCCAAGGCTTTTCGTTGACGAGGGGCTGAAGGTTTGTGATTTACTCCGGCGGTCCGGCCCTCTTGGACTCTTGGCCTTACACGGTTTTGTCGAAACCACTCAAACAGATCCCTCTTGCTGTGGGACCTGAAATGAGAGGCCTCTTTGGAGACAAGTTGTAGTATGAACGTCAACCCTGTCGGCTTTCCCTTGGAGAAGGTGTTTGTTTGCAGGGGCCGGAATCTTTTCACGCCAGCAACCCTGCGGGTCAAGCAAGAATTGAGCTGGCTGCCGATGCACCGATTCTGGGGGTTCACCATTTGAGTTGCTCGATGACGAGCTCCTTTTTGGGGATCATGCCCTTGAAATGTCAGAGCAGGGAAACTCCTCGCCATTTGCATGCTTTCACAAGGAAGCTAAGGGGAACACGGTCACTTGGAAGGTCTTCAAATTGGGGGGTGCCCCTTTTGACTGAGGTTTAAAGGGACATCCAAAGCAAGTCAATTGCTTTATACGGTGTCCCCAGTTCCAGAAACACCAACCTGAGTTCTCAGGTTTGTGTGCTGCCTATGAACGGCACGCTGCCAACACTACTGGTGCAGGCACCCGCTGGCTATAGCAGGCGTGGTGATGAGAGTTTATACAGATTGCAATTAGATAGCAGTCAGCAGCCAGACCGGAACTATGTGTGATTCCCACTGTGGGAAGAAGGACACAGCTATAGTTTCCTAGAGGTTGTGATTGGTTTACTTGCGGTACCCCTTCATTCGTTCAGGACTACCCAGTGGACCAGTCAGCTTCAAAAGCATTTCGGAGCTGCGTTCGATGATTGGATTCCACGCAAGTTGGTTGAACTTGCCGGAAATGTTAGCCCAGGATTATCAAATCCGGGTTAACTAATCTTAATTGTTATGTTATCATGTGATTCCCATTCAGAGGAGGTCCATCCTTCACTTTGGGTGGAGTAGCACTCCACTTTCTTTCCACCAAGTTCAACATAAGACGCAGATCTGGGTCAACATTTGCCGTCAAGGTGGTTCCCTTCGTGCATACGATATCTAGCAACGAGGAAGTTAACTTGGATGGCCTTGAGGTTATATGCCGGGCCATGGTCAAAGCACCTTGTTGGGGTGAGTTTGGTTGTCAGCCCCCAGAGCTTTTTCACAATGAAGGGGTTCTAACTAATCAGGCATGACCATGGTCCACATTTCGGCAGTTTTGACCATGGCCCATTTGGGTACGCGTCAGAATTAAGGGACCCCCCAAACATTGTGGTTTGCCATTTGGTGTCACTTGAAACCAACCTGAACAGGGTGCCCTCAGACACACACACACACACACTTACATGTTGACTACATCCCACCTATCGGATTCTGTAGAAACGACAGGAGTGGCTTGCGCTCCGTGCAGGTTGTGCGCTTGGGCCTTGTGGCAGGGCTACTTGGAGTCTGCGCCCGCCTGCAACCCGCCACGGAGACGCGACAAGGTCCGAGAACCTACGGGCTTAATGAATAGTTCACATGTTGCACCCTTGATCATGACTCAATGGGGCTTTAGAGGCCTTTATAGCACTAGGCCTGAGCGATTAGAGTCAGATGGTGGGGTACTTTCAAACCAAATGGTGTCATAGAAGCAACACGCATTTGGCACTAACGGCGCGGAGCATTTCGCACATTTTTATACGAACACGTCCCACCGCGCTGATGTGGTCGACGCCTTGATGACTTTGATGGGGTGGGGTGGGGTGGGGTGATAACGTACGGGGCACAAGTTGCTCGGATGCCTGCTGTTGTGTGGTTTAGTCACAAGTTTAGTCCCGGACACAGTATCACGCAGCCCGATTTTGGACGTTCATATTCCCTAGCGTGTGTCATCGAATCTTGCTAATTACAACTGATCCGCCGAAGGCTGCAAGACTATGAAGTACACTTCGGTTCTGTGAACCATAGTTCGCTGTAGTTTGCCAAGAATGTTCTCTTGCCTCAGGATCTTTGAAAGGTATGAAAGACGTGCAGAGGTGGCTGCCACCTTGTGTCATGCTAAGAAGAAGGGCGGGCTGAATCCCGAGCGGTGGCGATACTCGCGTAATTACCATTGGCGGCACAACACATGTGATGCTTGTAGGAAGCAATGCCGTAGTTATTTCATGTCCAGAATCCTAGGGCGTTTGCCAGGGTGGTGAATTCCTCCGCGCCGTTAGTGGCGGCGTGACCTTGTTTTGGGCCAATCCATAGAAGTGACTCAAACAGTGCGTTTGATGAGTGCCGTCGTTTTTTGTTCTTCCTGGGGTCGTGCGCGCATGTTTCCTCAAGTTGTTGTTTGATGCTGATTATGATCAACCCGGCTGTTGAGCTATCTAATTGGCTGACAGGCTTCTATTTGTTCATTGAAGCAGAAAGGTCTGCAGCAACGCGTATCCTTGTGGACCTGTTCCCGCCTCCATCTTCGATTCAGGGCTGTCCTTTTCCAGAGGTTGGCTGGATTTGGTCCTTTTACCTGATCCCGGAAAAGTACAGTGACCCTTCTGGGAAAGCCTGGGTCTTTTATTCGATTTCTATGTCCTCGTAAGGCAAGCTGCTGGGCTCGGGTCAGACGGTGGCCGTGGAGCCCTCCTTCGTGGCGGAGGCGCGGCGGATGGGCGTGCCGCGGTTCAGGAGGGCTCGGACTTCGTTGACCAGCCCTGCTAGGGTGCAATGGTCTATCATTGGGTTGGGCCGTTGAATAAGATTGTTGAATAAGGTTTGTCTACTTTGGTGGTTTAGTGCGGTTGCTTGGTGGGGTTGCGTCGTAGGGGTTTGGTTGTTTGACAGGGCCGTTCAGCGGACATGTCAATGATTGGGGTAAACAATGTTAATAGCAGATCCTGATTGTGACTCACATGTTTTCAACATGGTTTGAGAACATCAGCTTGTTGTCAATCTTGTTTGTTGAACTTGCCTCTTGGAGAAAAAGGATAGGTTTTGAAAGATTGAACGTTGGTGTCTTTACTTGTTGGTGTTAATTGATTCCCCCAATCAAAACCAGCAACAAGTTAACCTTGCCCGAAGGGTCGGATCAGTCTGGACGACTCCAGGCAGCACCCAATTTGCTCTATGTCTATGTCCGAATGACTGGCTCAAGGGAGCTCAGGTAGTGAGCGTTTGTCGCAGGGTTGTTCCTGCTTTGCTGGCATAACATTGTAGATGGGCTTGAATGCTCCAACGGTAAGCATAGAGCAAATAATGATAAGTCATTCTTGTCAAGCAGAAGTTGCACTTGCTAAATGCTGCCGATGTATGCCCATAGCCTTTCGCTCATGCAGCCTCCTACCCCTGCCTACGTGCGCAAGGTGGTATCCCCGACTGACGGCAGGCCGCTACCAACCCTCCTGACTGCTGTCAGGCAGGAAGGGGATAAACGCGTTTGGACATTAACCCATATTGCCAAACCGTTGATACATTAAAACGTTTAAGCACGTTTACAGGCCCTCCCTTGAGTTTGTATAACCTTCTCAACCACATCCCAACCGAATGATGTTTGAACATGCTTCAAGAAGTTCATACTGCAGCGGTACGGCGCAAGAAACCAGCCATGGGCAAGCGTGCTGGAGGGCCCCTGGAAGAGAAATAGTTCAGTGTACTGTGTTGAGGCACGTTTTCACAGTGTTCAAACAGCCCCTGAGGTAGCAACTGTTTAGGCGAACTATTTAAACATGATTATAGTGTCTAAGCAATGTCTACACGACCCTTGAGGGAGACATGGTTTAGACGGACCATTTAAATATATTCAAAGTCAGGTTCAAGGACCAGGGAGGCACAAACGGCGCACCGCTCAAACATGTGCAAACGTTGAAGTGATGTGTACACGTTTAAACATGTTTGAACAGTTAAACAACCCAACACCCGCATTTTCCTTCCCGTGTGATGATTGTGGTTGTGGTGGTTGTGGTGGTTGTGGTGGTTGTGGTGGTTGTAGTGGTGGTGGTAACCCAACACCCGGATTTTGCTTCCCGTGGGATGGTTGTGGTGGTTGTGATTGTGGTGGTTGTGGTGGTTGTGGTTGTGGTGGTGGTGGTGGTGGTGGTGGTGGTGGTGGTGGTGGTGTTTTTCGGGCTCGTGCCATCTCGTGCCAAAAGGCTGCTTCTTGCAAAAAGGGCTCAGGGAGCGTTTAAACAGACACTGTTGGCGCAACTTCCTGGACTGCGCCAAGGGAGCGCTTGAACAAGCTCCCAAAGGTTCACCTGGATTTGACTGTGTGTCAAGGGAACGTGTAATCAAATGCTGTTTAAACTTAAACAATGTTTGATTACCAGTTAGCCAACGACATTCCGGCTGTCAGGCCTACGTCAAGCACTCAGAAGTCTTGTGAAGAAGGCTTGCAGGATGATGAGGAAGACGATGAGGAAGGCCAGGGCCCCAGCTTGGAGTACACATTTTGTGGCGTCGATTTCAAACCCATTCTGCCATCAGCCCTTGCATCGTCAACAATTGTTGGAGCCATATGCATGATGACGGTGCAAATTCCGATTCTCAGCCGAATGACCTTGATGCCGCAAGCTGTGCTTTTTGCAGCTTTTCTGGCACTCTATGCTGTTACACTGGGGTGCATGACGTACTGCGCTTTTGCGGATCCTGGTCAAGTCAAGCGGACGCGCAACGCGCAGCTGGGAATGGACCTTGAGAAAGGCATGCCCATGCGCGCGCACAAGTCGTGGCAGTATCCCAGGCCCATCCGTCGATACGACCACTACTGCAAATGGCTCAAGAATACGATCGGTCTTCTGAACCACCGGGAGTTTGTGACAATGCTGATGTGCTTGACCTTGATCTCTTTCCTGGGAATTATGATCGACTTGTGGGTTGCAGTCCTTGTGGCCAAGATAGATTACCTGCAGAGAGAGATCATTGTCGTGCTGCATTTGGCCTACTCGATTGCCTTGCTGGCGATTGAGGGGCCCATGCTCAGGATCCATGTGGGCCTCATCTCCAGGAATGAGACGGCGCAGGAGTGGAAGAAGAAGCAGAATTATGTGGCGCATGACACCAGCCTCGGTGACGACGTGCCAGTGGAGCAGTTGGATGACGACGAGTACAACAGCTTGTTTGACCAGGATGCCTTTGTGTATGATCGGACAATGAATCCATTTGACAAGGGCATCTTATCAAACTGCTGGAATTTCTGGTGCATGCCTCGCTGGCCAGCAGACGAAAACGGAGAGTGGTGACAGAGGTCGAGAAAACATGTAAGATACTCGCACCAGTACCATTACGGAGCCTTGCGCTTTTGTCCAGGCTCGTTTCACTATGTGGTGATCAACAGGGTCGCGCATTTGTACTATATTTGCTGCTCAAAGAACGGAGAACAAAAACAAAACGAGACCAAGCCATGCTGTCAATACGTGGGAGGGATTTCAGAAGAGAGCGACACGTTTTTCCAACTTATTATCTTACCTTGAAAGGGAAGGGACTGGGCATAGTGTTTATGCTGCTGCCAACAAACACTCTGTCTCTTTCTGTTTGTTTTTGCTCTTCCTGTTGCTCGGTGCATAGTGGTTTGGTGTCAAGCAAAGCCCTAACAATGGCAACCTAATAGTGATTAGTTGAATACCCATGCTGACGCCAGAGATTCCTTTCATGGTGCTTGCGAGTCTGAGCATGGCAACGTGACAGGTCGGTGATTCCTGGCAAGTTGGTGTGCATTGTGTGTGTGTACCTTGCTTGTCCCTTCGATATGCAAAGAGGAGCACACCAAAAACTGGGGGGTACCAAACCCCCGCTTGCTGAGTTGTGCATGCGTACAGGCGTCTCAGCCAACAATCCGTATTGAGGTTTGCCAAATTGGTCCTGTGGATGCAGATTAGCGTGCCGTAGTTCCAAAGAAGGATGAGGGGTGTTGTCACATGGTGAGTTCTTGTGTCGAATACAAACAGGAAGCGCCTTTTGGACACCTCATGGATTGGGCCCAGAAATGGAGAATGCATGAGTGGACACCAATGTCAGGTGAGAAGGTTAGAAACTAGTAGAAACCTTTAATATACCCTTGTTATCCCGCAAAGCAATCGTGCTGACAATACCTACTGCTCGCTGACCTGAGTTGAGCACTCAGATCAAGGTGTGATTGCCAAACTTTTGGCTTGGGTTTGCTTGAGGGGCCTTTATTATTCGCGGTTCCTTAGCAACCGCGGGATCGATGTTGTTGTTGTTTGTTCTTTCTTTTTTTGCGGGTGGAGTTCCCTATTGATCCCTTTCAGTTGTTGTCCAAAACTCCGGAAACAATTTGCGGGCGCCAAAATTTCAGAGAAACCCAGAGCGCGGAGAAATCGCAGGCGGACGTTGTACCAGACAGATCCGACGTCGTCGTGCCGCAGGAGGCGGGGACCTTTTGGGTGGCCGCGGATCAATTGTTGGACGGAATCATACACACTGCCTATTTTGTGCTGAGCTGACTTGGGGATAAATTGAGCTGAGCTGATCATGATGTAATGTTGGTTCTTTTATTGGGGATCCTTTAGATCAGATGTTGGAATTGTTGCAAGATGTAGAAGCTCAGTGTGAGTGCCAACTGCCTGGCTTGCTTCTGGGGATGCGCACTATTTGGCTCTCTATGGTGCCTCATGTGGGGAGGCTAGCTTGTGTAGGCTGTGTAGACTGCTTTGGACTTGAATGGCATTTGCTTTTCGATGAGCAAATGAACAGGTTTGTGCACTTCCAATCTTTTGGTGAAAGGGTACTGATTGTTTTTCTTTCATCCATTTATGTGCCAATTCACATTAACTGATACATCCGGCTGAATTTCCCAAAAAACAGAAACAACAAGGGTGCATATTATATCAGTGTTTTCCTTTGCAGCCCTGTTCCACACCCAGTTCGATGGATGGGAGGCACACTTTTTTTTAGTGGGCGTCCTTCACTATTCTTGGGGACCCTTGATCAATAGGACAGGGTCCAGTTGTCTGAAGCATTGCGACTCTACATTGACAGGCTGGGGTGCATTATCTGGTTGGGGAGCTTAGTTGATGAATCAAGGAGTGGATGCAACTGGGACCTGCGGCGTGCGTTGAGCCCGCAATTTCGTCCAGACTTGAAATGGTATTTTTTCAGATCGTGCTGCTAGCTGCTGCGCGCCTTCTGCAGAAGTGCAGAACACAGCAATGCTGCTGCGTTTGAGTGGCCCAGCCCCTGTCACCAAACCTATTTGCTGAGGGGACAGGTCTAAACCACGGTCTCATTTGACATGGTGTCTCAAGCGAGGAGAGCTAGTGGATCGGGCTCCTGATAGGACGCGGTAATTGCCAATGGGGTCACAACATAGGTGCGGGGGCCTTCTTTGAAACCCGTTTCAGTGACTTTGGATGCTGCCTTCAAAGGATGACCAAGCAGGTGTATTGTTTTTTTTGTGTGTTTCATGAAGCGTTATCACCCCTACACGCCCATAATTTGCTGATTCGAAAGAAGCTTTGCCATGCAAGTGCTTGAGCGTTACAGGCTGGCTGGGAGCCAACACTCAGAGCACAACTGCTGCGATTGCGCGGTCCGGATGAGAACAGCACGTCCGGTCGCAGGCAGGCTGACCGTTGCTTCGCCTCACAGATCGACACAAATGGATGAAGGAACGAAATAATGAAGAGAAACAGCCTGAAGGAACGGAGCTAGAAGCGCACTTTACCACAAGCGGCCTGGCCCCTTTGAGGTTCCCTATCTTGCTTGTTCTTGTTTGTCCTTGAAAGACTTTGTTTCCAAGAATCCCGGAAGTGCACGGTTTGCTGCTTGATATGCTTCCATGATTGTTGAGCAGAGACTCAACCACTGACTGTTCAGCCCGGGATTGGGTTTGCGTAGTTTCTTGTGCCATGCTGTGCCATTCGCCGCCTGACGCCCAAAACAGGACATCTCAAAGGTATATGGGAGGGGAGGCAAGGGAAGCCTGGGATGTCCAGCATTTGTTGCTTCTCAAATTACATGAGTTTTCATGAAGTGAGGCCGCATTTGTGTGTGTGGGTGTGACGTGGTCCCGCAATTAGGCACAGTAACCAAGAGGTCTCTTGTTGGGCAAACTATAACACATGTGTGGGTGTATCATAGTTTGGAGATGTCCGGGGTACGCCCAATGATGTCGCCTACGTAGCTTTGGTTTAAATCAGTTTTCCGTAATTTGCCAGACGCGGCCCATCTCGGGCCGCTAGTTCCGAAGAATTGTTTTTACGCAGATCCTTTTTCAGTGTTGTACCGCACTTGGTCTTTCGTGGTTTGCCTCCAGTAGTCAATTGACTTCATCCCTTTCTGCCCATGTACCTTGTCTATCCCTCTGGGCTTTCCTTCGTAGGTTCCCAATATTAGAGCGCACTGGGGAAGACACCACCCCAAAAGATACGCCTTTCCGATCAACTGCAGACACCTCATGAAGAACACAAGCCCACTCAAAGACCGTCACACTTGCTTTTTCGTGTGCTTCTTCCTCTAAGATTGACGCCTTCTGACTAAATCCATTTCTCCTGGACGCTTTGCTTGGACGCCTGCAAAGAAAGCCTTCACCCTCGTGGTAAGAAAAACCGAGACCCTGGCAGAGGTTTCTGTAGGTTGGAAGTTCAGGGAAATCAAGGGGGTTTGCATGGTGGATGCAAACTCCGAAGGATTGAGCTTAAGAAGGATTGAGTGATAAACAGTTTCGCCTAAGAAGCAGAAGACTTGTCAATGCTGCAACGTGAATCAATCGATTCCTCATCACAATGCCGCATTTTTCACAATGTGCAGTCTGAGAATATCCAGAATACCCAGGTGGCATGTCATGAAACACCAGCGAACAATTGGAGGCGTCCAAATGACTGGTTCAAGTGAGAGCAAGTAGTGAGCGTTTGCCACGAGGTTGTTCCTGCTTTTCTGGCATGACATTGTACAAGGGCTTGAACGCTAAGTACAGCATGATAAATCATTATTGCCAAGCAGAAGTTGCACTTGCCAAATGCTGCCGGTGCACGGCCTTGCGATCATGCAGCCTCCTACCCCTGCCTACATTCGCAAGGTTGCATCTGTGACCAGCAACAGGCCGCTATTGCCAACTCTTCTGACTACTGTCGGGCCTACGTCAAACACTCAGAAGTCTTGTGAAGAAGGCTTGCAGGATGATGAGGAAGACGATGAGGAAGGCCAGGGCCCCAGCTTGGAGTACACATTTTGTGGCGTCGATTTCAAACCCATCCTGCCAGCAGCCCTTGCATCGTCAACAATTGTTGGAGCCATATGCATGATGACGGTGCAAATTCCGATTCTCAGCCGAATGACCTTGATGCCGCAAGCTGTGCTTTTTGCAGCTTTTCTGGCACTCTATGCTGTTACACTGGGGTGTATGACGCACTGCGCTTTTGCGGATCCTGGTCAAGTCAAGCGGACGCGAAACGCGCAGCTGGGAATAGACCTTGAGAAAGGCATGCCCAGGCGCGCGCACAAGTCGTGGCAGTATCCCAGGCCCATCCGTCGATACGACCACTACTGCAAATGGCTCAAGAATACGATCGGTCTTCTGAACCACCGGGAGTTTGTGACAATGCTGATGTGCTTGACCTTGATCTCTTGCCTGGGAATTGTGATCGACTTGTGGGTTGCAGTCCTTGTGGCCAAGATAGATGACCTGCAGAGAGAGATCATTGTCGTGCTGCATTTGGCCTACTCGATTGCCTTGCTGGTGATTGAGGGGCCCATGCTCAGGATCCATGTGGGCCTCATCTCCAGGAATGAGACGGCGCAGGAGTGGAAGAAGAAGCAGAATTATGTGGCGCACGACACCAGCCTCGGTGACGACGTGCCAGTGGAGCAGTTGGATGACGACGAGTACAACAGCTTGTTTGACCAGGATGCCTTTGTGTATGATCGGACAATGAATCCATTTGACAAGGGCATCTTATCAAACTGCTGGAATTTCTGGTGCATGCCTCGCTGGCCAGCAGACGAAAACGGAGAGTGGTGACAGAGGTCGAGAAAACATGTAAGATACTCGCACCAGTACCATTACGGAGCCTTGCGCTTTTGTCCAGGCTCGTTTCACTATGTGGTGATCAACAGGGTCGCGCATTTGTACTATATTTGCTGCTCAAAGAACGGAGAACAAAAACAAAACGAGACCAAGCCATACGTCAGCAAGTGGGAGGAATTGCAGAAGATGTCGGACAAGTTTTTCCAACTCATTTCCAGATGTTGAAAGGGAAGGGACAGGTATGATGTTTTGGTCGCTGGCAAAATCAATGTGGCTGCCGGAAGGGTATTACATGAGTTCATCTTGCATCGGTAGATGTTCATGTTTCAGGGCTTCCCTTTCAGCTTTTGAGGATTTCATGTTGGTGGACCCCAACCCAGGATTGGCTTTCTGATCGCATAGCTGTCGCCGGCCGAAGCGAGGCTTGGCGCGCAGCTGCTGCCTTTGGTCCTGCCGCGCACGCATCCCTTGCAGTGGCGCGTGGGTACGGCCGGTGGCTCAGCAAGGGTTGCTCCGAGCCTCCAAAAGGACGACCAAGCCTCAATGGGCAGAAAAAGTGGGTTGGGTCTCTGATGCCAGGGAGCAAGTTTCGGGTTTAGTGCCAGGGTCTTGGGAGAGCAACGCTGATGTCTGAGGGGACTAGCCATGCCTACCCATGCCGGGTGAAACCAGGCTTGTTCAGGTCTTTTAGTTGCCTGAGATCTTCCGGAAGCCACGGTCGTTCTCTGCCACTCCAGCGCATGTCGTTTGACTGCAACAAACTTCGGGGATGGCCCGTGCCAACCTGGTATACCAGCCAAATGGATCCCTTGAGTCACGATGGTTGTGCGCCAAAATTTGGGACCCCTGCTTCGCGAATAAAGCAACATCAAGCCAGCCTCTTGGAGGGTCCCAGTGACCATTGGAAACAGGGCCTCCCTTTTTTTGGGTGTGGGGAAACGACTGGACAAGTGGAAAACGCTACCCGCCATCAACAAATGCGTGGAGTGGTACTGATATCTCATCAGCAAGGGGCCATCCATCAAAGCAGGAAGCCATTGCAAGAGGCACCCAATCTAAGCCTTTGGACGGCCTTTGCCTGGTTCACTCCCATTTCCATTGGCAAGGAAGGACTCAACAATAATGGTTAAATATACACATCGACCCCAACAAGGGAACCTTCCTCTTGGTCGCAAATCCCGCTGGATGTCGCCATAATTTGATTTGCTTTGGGCTCTGGTTGGCCCCATCTGAATGAGGTCCCTGTTCAACCTTCCAGGTAGCTTAAGGCACCCCACCTCCTTTGCGTTTGGTTCGGTGCCTTTGAACTTTGATCCCAGCCCTTTGCCATCCATCGAGGGCTGGGGCTGAGCTTGTGAAACGCTCACGAAAGAACCAAACAAAAACTGCAACAAAAATCAATCCCTGAGGAATCCTGAGGAACATCGAGGAACTTGGTGGGCCAAAAAAGAGGCTAGCAAACATGAACACATGAGCTTCCTTGGCTGGTTGACTGAGGGAGATAGGCGCGTGGGTTTATGATTGTGAGATGTTGATTCACCAAACGGTAAAATAATGTATTGATGTTGGTGGTTGCGTGGAGTATCGTTGCGCTTCCATCATGAAGCTGAATTGTGTGTGTGTGTGTGTGTCTGTGTGTGTGCTTGTTTGTTTGTTTGTTTGTTTGTTTGTTTGTTTGTTTGTTTGTTTGTTTGTTTGTTTGTTTGTTTGTTTGTTTGTTTGTGTGTGTGTGTGTTTGTTTGTGTGTTTGTTTGTTTGTTTGTTTTTGGTGTTGTTTTTATTTTTGTTTTTTTGATTGTTTGTTTGGTTGTTTGTTTGTTTACTGTATTGGTTTGGTTTGGCTTGGTTTTGTTTGTTTGCTTGTTTGCTTGTTTGTTTGTTTACTGTATTGGTTTGGTTTGGTTTGGTTTTGTTTGTTTGTTTGTTTGTGTGTGTGTGTTTGTGTACGTGTTTGTGTTTGTGCTTGTGGCTGTGCATTGTTGATTTTTTTGGTGTGTGTGTGTGTGGGCGTGTGTGGGTGGGTCGGTGGGGGCGGAGTGTTTTTGTCATAGTTTTGTCCTGCAGATCATGTTTTGGCGCACAGCGCCGTGCGTGGTCTTGTGTTTGTATGTGTGTGTGATGCACATGGTTCCATTTTGGTCTGTCTTGTCTACTTGCGCCTTGTCTTGTGCGTCTTGTCTTGTACATGCCGATGTGCTTTGTGTTGTGCGCCTTGTATTAGTATGATGCTTTTTGCCGCATAGACGTGTGTACTGACCTGTCAACTGTGTTTGTGCGTGTTTCTGGTACATACCAACGACCTTACTACGGCAATGGTGCAAGCAAGCTTTCCATGACAAAGTACCCGCTAAAGAGATCGCTCATTTCTGGTTGGCTGATGGTTCTCAGTGGCCAACAGGCTTTGTGTATTGTCCTTTGTATTATTGCTTTTCACCTTGCTTTCTGGCCTCAGTTAGGACTGGGCAACAAGCGCGCTCATGGGGCTGTAATGACCCAATCCATAGGATGAGAGTACTCGATCACGGGGCTTTCTACAGTTTCCCCTTTTCGTTTTGGGACAATTCAAAGAGCAAGTTTCGTGTAAGTTGGTGATGTCCAAAACGTAATATGTGAATAACTAACTAATATAATATATATATATATACATAAAACAAAAGACATCCCATTGCACTTATGTAGGGATCCCTGTTTCAGTTGCGTGATTGACTGTCCACAGTGCACAGTGAACGCGAGAGCTAAGATCCCTTCCTCCACGCCTTCGTTTTGAGCATGAGAAGAGCTGACTCTGCAGGATATGGTCTCAAGATGGAACCCACACGTTGATTTCCTTTGGTGGTTCCCGGTAAACCGAGCAAACGCATGTCCAAGCAAACTGACTGGTTTTTCGGTGTTTGTCTGGGTGTTGATGTGTGTTGCTGCCTGAAGCATGTCGACAGTTTCACACGCACATCTGATTTTCGCCCGAGTCTGCGGTGGATGCGCGGGTCTTGCTGCAGCCGGGCCTCACGCAGAGCACGTTGACCGCAGACATGGAGTCCCCGTGGCTGCAGTTGGAGTAGATTGCCACAGGCCGGCAAGTGCTCAAAGGTCCATTCTCTCTTATTTTTTCTTAGTTGGTTCTTTTTCGGGTTGGTTTGAAGGGAAACCAAATGGACACCAGGCCTCCTGCTGAGCGTTTCCCAGTTGAGACGCCCCCGTTTGCCCTCCTACCATGAGCAACGGTGTTTTGCGCGCAACTTAAAAGGAGCAGGGAGGGAGGGACTTTTTTTTTGCACATATGCACTGCGCCACACACGCGGAAGCATGCTGGTCAGACGGATTTCCCAGCTGCCTCGTTTTTTGTTCAGTTCAACGCCTCGCCTGCCCAAGGGATCCCTCATAGAATGTGATCTGAAAGTAAGACGGGGATTTGTATACAATTCCTATCAATCTTGCTTGCCCGGACCCGTTTCAAGCTGCTTTAAGTTGAGGCCCTTGTACCTGGCAATGTCCTTCGCAGGTTTCTGCATCCAAGATGGCTTCCAGCAAGCCACTGACCTCGGGGCAAGTGAAGTATGTAACGACTAGCTAGCCACCAGATCAAGGGTATACTCCTCATTTTTGCTGTCAGGGGTACTTGTTTGGGGTAGTTGAATCTATTTTAGATGTCGCTTAGCGCCTATTGCAGCCTTCCGCACCCCATCAACTCGCTGCTTTGTTTGTAAACTTGTTAACCAATGAACACCCTTTGCCTCATGGTCACCGGACATGAACTTGTGTACCACTGAAGGAGTGCTCGTTTTTGAGGGTGCCATGATGTTTCCCCTTGCTGTATGGGAAAACATACTTACTCAGGCGAATCAAACCTTTTTGGACTTTTGAGAGAACCCTGGGAAGGTGAAAAATCACTTTGAGTCCGCAGAAAGGACAGTGTTATAATATTGCTCTGGGTGAGCAAACTGGTTGACTGATCAGGGAGGTTTCTTGACTAGTGCGGATTCTGCTCTTCAAGGGGACTCATCAGATTGACAATGAGGAGACAACTTGTGACAGCCACAGACAACAGCCATAGCCATCAGTATTTCTACGGCAACCACGGTGGCCTCGCAATCAGGGGACAACCTGAGACAATCATGTCGACACCTGAGTAATCAAGCTGGTCGATCAATATGGGCAACACCCCCCCAAGAAGTCAAGGATCCCCTCTTCCGTATGACAACCGGTGGTCCCCTGGTATGGCACAACATGTTATTGCATATTTTACGTATTTGTTTTGTTGTCTTTTCGCATGTACCCTTTACCGACCCTTTAGCCAGCGGCTGCCATTGTTTCAACGGCCCTGGACCTCAGTGAGGTTTTCAGCCTGGCAAGACTTGGCGCTGGAAGCGGCCGCGCCGCTGCTTCCGCTGCCCAGCCGGCAAACCTGGGAAGCTTGGTGGTACCTGGGGTGCGCTTGGGTATCCATGGCTGGTCTTTGGGGTCTCTCAACATACAAGTACCTTAATTTGGCTGGTTTCCCTCTAAATGGTTGGTTTCCCTCTGAATACCAAACCAAAAAGGGGTCCATCATTTTAGAAATTTTAACGCCTCCGGCTCAGGCCGCCGACATTACAGGCCTGCTTTCTTATTTGCGTCCCTTTGGAATTGTCCCCTTGCCCCCTTCCCCTCTGAGATTTGTGCCCCCCTTTCTTTGTTGAGATCCATTCCCCCTTTCCGCCCTAAGGCCTTTTCTCCCTCTGATTTTTTCCTTTTTCCTCCCTAAGATGTTTTCCCCCCTCTCCCTGTTGAGATCCTTTCCCCCCTTTCCCCCCTAAGGCCTTTTCCCCCCTGAGATCTTCTCCCTTTTCCTCCCTTTCCCCCACTTCCCCCCCTACGGCCTGTTCCTCCCTGGGATCTTTTTCCTTTCCTCCCTGAGATCTTTCCCCCCCTTTCCCTGTTGAGATTTTTTTTCCCCCTTTCCCCCCTACGGCCTTTCCCCCCGCTGAGATCTTCTCCATATTCCTCCGTAAGATCCTTTTCCTTCCTAAGATTGTTTCCCCCCTTTCCCTGTTGAGATCCTTCCCACCCTTTCCCCCCTCAGGCCTTTCCCCCCCTGAGAGCTTCTCCCTTTTCCTTCCTTAGATCTTTCCCCCCTTTCCCTGTTGGCCTTTTTTCCCCCAGATCTTCTCCCTTTCCTCCCTAAGATCTTTTCCACCCCTTTCCCTGTTGAGATCATTTCTCCCCTTTCCCCCCTACGGCCTTTGCCCCCAGATCTTCTCCCTTTCCTCCCTAAGATCTTTCCCCCCCTTTCCCTGCTCAGATCCTTTCCACCCTTTCCCCCCTAAGGCCTTTCCCCCCCTGAGATCTTCTCCCTTTTCCTCCCTAAGATCTTTTGCCACCTTTCCCTGTTGAGATCCATTCCCCCTTTCCCCCCTAAGGCCCTTTCTCCCTCTGAGTTTTTCCCTTTTCCTCCCTACGATGTTTTCCCCCCTCTCCCTGTTGAGATCCTTTCCCTCCTTTCCCCCCTAAGGCCTTTTTTCCCCCGCGATCTTCCCCCTTTTCCTTCCTAAGATCTTTTCCCCCCTTTCCTTGTTGAGATCCTTTCCCGCCCTTTCCCCCCTAAGGCGTTTTCCCCCCCAAGATCTTCTCCCTTTTCCTCCCTAAGATCCTTTGCCCCTTTCCCTGTTGAGGTCCTTTCTCTTTCCCCCCTTTTCCCCCCCTGAGATCCTCCCCAAGATCTTTTCCCTTGGTTGAGATCTTTCCCCCTTTCCCCCCAAGATCTCCCTTTTCCTCTAGGCCCACCTTTCCCTGTTGAGCTCCTTTCCCCCTTTTCCCCCTAAGGCCTTTTCAGATCTTCTCCCTTTTCCTCCCGAAGATCCTTTGCCCCCTTTCCCTGTTGAGATCCTTTCCCCCTTTCCCCCCTAAGGCCTTTTCCCTGCCTGGGATCTTCTCCCTTTCCTCACTGAGATCTTTCCCCCCCTTTCCCTGTTGAGATCCTTTCCCTCCTTTCCTTCCTAAGGCCTTTCCCCCCGCTGAGATCTTCTCCCTATTCCTCCTTAAGATCCTTTGCCTCCTTTCCCCGTTGAGATCCTTTCCCGCCTTCCCTTTAAGGCCTTTCCAGATCTTTTCCTTTTTCCTTCCTAAGATTGTTTCCCCCCTTTCCCTGTTCAGATCCTTCCCACCCTTTCCCGCCAAAGGCCTCTTCCCCCTGAGAGCTTCTCCCTTTTCCTTCCTTAGATCTTTCCCCCCTTTCCCTGTTGGCCTTTTTTCCCCCAGATCTTCTCCCTTTCCTCCCTAAGATCTTTTCCAGCCCTTTCCTGTTGAGATCATTTCTCCCCTTTCCCCTCTAAGGCCTTTGTCCCCAGATCTTCTCCCTTTCCTCCCTAAGATCTTTCCCCCCCCCCCCCTTTCCCTGCTGAGATCCTTTTCCCCCTTTCCCCCCTAAGGCCTTTCCCCCCCCTGAGAGCTTCTCCCTTTTCCTTCCGAAGATCTTTTCCCCCCTTTCCCTGTTAGGCTTTCCCCCCTAAGTCCTTTTCTCCCAGATCGTCTCCCTTTCCTCCCTAAGATCTTCCCCCCCCTTTCCTCCTTAAGATCTTTCCCACCCTTTCCCTGTTGAGATCCTTTCCCCCCTTTCCCTCCCAAGGCCTTTCCCCCCCCTGAGAGCTTCTCCCTTTTCCTTCCTAAGATCTTTTCCCCCCTTTCCCTGTTGGGCTTTCCCCCCTAAGTCCTTTTCTCCCAGATCTTCTCCCTTTCCTCCCTAAGATCTTCCCCCCCCCCTTTCCTTCCTAAGATTGTTTCCCCCCTTTCCCTGTTGAGATCCTTCCCACCCTTTCCCCCTGAGGCCTTTCCCCCCCTGAGAGCTTCTCCTTCCTTAGATCTTTCCCCCCTGTCCCTGTTGGCCTTTTTTCCCCCAGATCTTCTCCCTTTCCTCCCTAAGATCTTTTCCACCCCTTTCCCTGTTGAGATCATTTCTCCCCTTTCCCCCCTAAGGCCTTTGCCCCCAGATCTTCTCCCTTTCCTCCCTAAGATCTTTCCCCCCCTTTCCCTGCTCAGATCCTTTCCCCCCTTTCCCCCCTAAGGCCTTTCCCCCCCTGAGATCTTCTCCCTTTTCCTCCCTAAGATCTTTTGCATTTTTCCCTGTTGAGATCCATTCCCCCTTTCCCCCCTAAGGCCCTTTCTCCCTCTGAGTTTTTCCCTTTTCCTCCCTACGATGTTTTCCCCCCTCTCCCTGTTGAGATCCTTTCCCTCCTTTCCCCCCTAAGGCCTTTTTTCCCCCGCGATCTTCCCCCTTTTCCTTCCTAAGATCTTTTCCCCCCTTTCCTTGTTGAGATCCTTTCCCGCCCTTTCCCCCCTAAGGCGTTTTCCCCCCCAAGATCTTCTCCCTTTTCCTCCCTAAGATCCTTTGCCCCCTTTCCCTGTTGAGATCCTTTCCCCCCTTTCCCCCCTAAGGCCTTTCCCCCCCTGAGATCTTCTCCCTTGTCCTCCCCAAGATCTTTTCCCTTGGTTGAGATCCTTTCCCCCTTTCCCCCCCAAGATCTTCTCCCTTTTCCTCCCTAGGATCTTCTCCCACCTTTCCCTGTTGAGCTCCTTTCCCCCTTTTCCCCCTAAGGCCTTTTCAGATCTTCTCCCTTTTCCTCCCTAAGATCCTTTGCCCCCTTTCCCTGTTGAGATCCTTTCCCCCTTTCCCCCCTAAGGCCTTTTCCCTGCCTGGGACCTTCTCCCTTTCCTCACTGAGATCTTTCCCCCCCTTTCCCTGTTGAGATCCTTTCCCCCCTTCCCTTTAAGGCCTTTCCAGATCTTCTCCCTTTTCCTTCCTAAGATTGTTTCCCCCCTTTCCCTGTTGAGATCCTTCCCACCCTTTCCCCCCTCAGGCCTTTCCCCCCCCTGAGAGCTTCTCCCTTTTCCTTCCTTAGATCTTTCCCCCCTTTCCCTGTTGGCCTTTTTTCCCCCAGATCTTCTCCCTTTCCTCCCTAAGATCTTTTCCACCCCTTTCCCTGTTGAGATCATTTCTCCCCTTTCCCCCCTAAGGCCTTTGTCCCCAGATCTTCTCCCTTTCCTCCCTAAGATCTTTCCCCCCCCCCCTTTCCCTGCTGAGATCCTTTTCCCCCTTTCCCCCCTAAGGCCTTTCCCCCCCCTGAGAGCTTCTCCCTTTTCCTTCCTAAGATCTTTTCCCCCCTTTCCCTGTTGGGCTTTCCCCCCTAAGTCCTTTTCTCCCAGATCTTCTCCCTTTCCTCCCTAAGATCTTCCCCCCCCCTTTCCTCCCTAAGATCTTTCCCACCCTTTCCCTGTTGAGATCCTTTCCCCCCTTTCCCTCCCAAGGCCTTTCCCCCCCTGAGAGCTTCTCTCCTTTAAGATCTTTTCCCCCCTTTCCCTGTTGGCCTTTTTTCCCCAGATCTTCTCCCTTTCCTCCCTAAGATCTTTTCCACCCCTTTCCCTGTTGAGATCATTTCTCCCCTTTCCCCCCTAAGGCCTTTTTGCCCCAGATCTTCTGCCTTTCCTCCCTAAGATCTTTCCCCCCCCCCCCAGTTCCCTGTTGAGATCATTTATTTCCCCCCTTTTCCTTCTAAGGCCTTTTCCCACCCTCAGTTCTTCTCCCTTTTCCTCCCAAAGATCTTTCCCCCCCTTTCCTCCCTAAGTCCTTTTCCCTGAGTTCGTCTCCCTTTGCCTCCCTAAGATCTTTTCCCCCCTTTCCCGCTTAAGATCCTTTAAAGTCTTTTTCCCCCTTTCCCGTTTGAGATCCTGTCCCCCCATTGCCCCTTAGGGCCTGTTCCCCCCGAGAAAGATTTCCCTTTTCCTCCCAAAGATCTTTTCCCCCCTTTCCCCCTTAAGGCATTTTTTCCCCAGATCTTCTCCCTTTCCTCCCTGAGATCTTTCCCCCCCTTTCGCTGTTGAGATCCTTTCCCCCTTTCCCCCCTTCATTTCCTTCACCAGCATGGGCAACATCCCCAGCATCACTTGCATCATCCGCATCCTTGGCAGGCGCTGATGCGGATGATGCAGGTGATGCTGGCGATGTGCCGCTGGAGCTGCTAAGGATGCGAAAGCGCACCCGGGGGGAATCAAACACCCCAATGTTTTTGACAAACTGAGTTGCGCAAGCCCGCACAATGAACAGATTTAGTGAAGCGTCTTCGAATCACCGCGTAGTACGTGGACCCCCCCCCCCCCGCAATAGTCTGAAATGGTGCCCCTGGGGAGGGGTTCGGGGAGGGGAACAGGTAAAGAGGCAAGGAGCATTTTTTGTGTCCAACACGCCGTCTGTTGTCGGCGGTTTCCTCAGGCTCAGGCCTATTGAGGATCATTGAAAGTTAGAACCTTCCCTTGGCTCTAAATCTTATGATGAAGGGTTCGGGGGGGGCATTTCTGAATTTCAGGTCGGCAAAATGATTGCAATTGCAGGATTTTGTGCCACCCCCAATCCCAACACGTTCTAGTCCTTGGGTGCGCCTGAAAGAGGGGAACTGCTTGCCTGCGTTTTTCATCAGAAGCCAACCAAGAAGGAGATTCCTATTCAGGAAGCACCCACATTCTGCGGTTGTTTCAATTATTTATCGGGGTAGCGGGGAACAGCATAAGTGACCGGGCATCGACAGACGATTCCTTTCTGGCCGAAGATGGCTGGTGTCCTTTTGGTGTCCCAATAAACCGTTTGGCCCTGGAAGTGGGGTTATGTGGGGTTGTTGCCCGCTTGTTTCCCTTGAGTTACCATCCAACAAGGATGTATTCCATTTTCGGAGAGTACAAGGAGCTGGAAAAGCGATGTGTCAGGATGTGCTGAAAGGAAAACCAAGCGGACAGCTCCCCTCAATGTCAGCAAGGCGGAGGCACTGCTGTCAGGGACTATTGCAAGAACGATGATGTAAAAGTAAGCACACAGCTAAATTGGCGTTTCGCAGCCATACCTGGGCTTTTAGAGTAATTGAGTGTAATTATATCCCACGGGAACCACTAATTAAGGGAAGAGTTGACATTGAATTTTACGTGCCGAATTGTTTCAACTCGGCTGCCATGCGTGAAAAAGCCACCAGATGGCAAGGATTGGCTTTGTTCCTGGATACCAGGAGCGACTGCTCGGAGTGATCTCCAACAGTGTTTCCAAACATTGGGCACCCGTAGTAGTGGGGTGGGGGAGTGGGGTCGTTTTTGTTTCCCTTTCCAAACCATCCAAAGTGGGGTCCGTTTCGACACATCGATTTTTGCATGCTAGTGTCGGAAGGCAAACCCACTTGGCCAGCGGCACCCGTTTCTCTTGTTGATGCGTTCTGCTTAAAGGAGTCCTTCAACATCTACCCAGCAAACAAGTGTTCTTTCCAGTGCTAAACTACTTGCCCCTGTGTGACAGCTTTTTGGTACAATTCCCAAAAGCTTGCTGGTTTTGGGATTCAAATCAGACCCGTCCAGTTTGTCCGTTCCCGAAATTAGGGCCTGCTGCTTTTCTTGCACAGCCGAGCCGGCCACGACTGGGTGCAGTCATGTCATGTCCTTTGTCGGATGTGTATATATAATATCATAGCCGGAGTGTCAATGCAGCATGTTAATGCACTTGATGGCTTAGGACCACATCCTCATGGTTGTGGATGTGCGGCTGTTGACAGGCAGCGTGCGGGGATGTGCCAGCAGAGTCATTTGACATCGACAAGGGCACCGGTCAAACATTATTTGGTCCGGGGGCGAGCAAAGGGATTTTGCTTGACTCCTTCAAGAACTCTTCACATGGATTTTGGACCCTCAAACATATTTACAGACCTTGATAGAGGGATAGCGACTGAGTGAGCGAGCCCGCCAACCCACGAACTCGTGAACCCGCGCAGGCGTGGACCGATGGAGTGCCGAGGTGCGAAGTGCCGCCTTGCTGATGACAGGCGCGGGGGACGAGTTGCCGCAAAGGCTTGACTGGGCCAATTATGATCAGGTAGCCAGCTACCTAATCCCACTCTACCCCAAGCGGGTAACTCGATAAAATTGTGTGCAGCGCTCAAAGTCGCAAGCGTAGATAAACGACACATGCCGCCCGGAAGTTTGACCATTTTCCTCCCCGGCATCCCCAGGATCGGCACGTGACAAGAAGTGGCGAGGCAGTTTCCATGCCGAGGTGGGTAGCAAGTTGGTGCGCTGAAAATGGTGCGCAGAGCTGCATCGGCAGCTCCAAACCTTGTTTACTTCGTCTATGTCATTGGCCTTCGGTCACATCAAGGCCAGCGCATTTGCGCCTGCCCTCAGGCATGCAGCCCTCTCTGTCCGTGCAGTGGGCGGGGCGCAGCATTTTGTTGGAGACTCGGGCCAACAGCAACTTGACTGAGTTTGCGTAGGGTACCAGACAGAGGCAGAATGGACAACATTAGAACTGAAGGCTCCTATACTGATTCAGAGCCATTGAGGACCATAAAGGGCCAGGGGGCCACAATCACCCATGGCTCCCCTTGCTTTGGCTCTGAATCAATATTGGAAAGACGCCTGCTTGTTGAATTATGGCTTCCCTTGTTATGGCACAATATTCGGCAGTGGCTCTCGGGATCTCCCGGGCGCAGCCAGCCTGGTGAAGGTCAGCTGTCTTCTCTTGCCAGCCTTGGTTATGGTTGAGGTATTGTGGAGACGCATTGTTTCGTCTTTTGTGTTTTGGGTTGGCGGCTTTTGCGGATGTTTTGCTTTGGCGGTTTTTTACCGCTTCGTGGATTTTAGCGGCTTTTGGTTGGTGGCTTTTGGCGGCTTTTGATGGTTTGTCTCATTGTTGCCTTGAATCGACACTAAACTCACCCCCAGTCTAAACCCACCTAACCCTACACCAACCCTAAACTTACCTTGAACCCACCCTAAATCCACCCTAAGAACAACCTGAACCAATTCCTAAACCAACCGAAACAAAAGCCAAGCCAAAGCCACCCAGAATTCAGATTGGTCAACTATAAAAGTTCATTCGCCACTTGACCGGTCTCCTCAATTAGATGTGGGGTGACCTCGATTCATCCAAATAGGTATATGTATCATATTATAGGATTTCATGTGTTCCTTTCGGTTTCCATTCAAACCAATCTGAGAAGGGTACCGAGCCTCAAAAAAGCACAGCCCCTAGTTGCATGCCGAGGCACCATCTACTTCAAGTGGCTCGAAGGTACCGCAGTGTCGACCTTTGGCTGCTTGGCTGCGCGCTGACCCGTGAGCGTGTGGGGCGCTGTTCGGGTCCGTGTTTGTTTTCCTCCAAGGTATCCCTGAATGTTTAGAAGCACCAAAGGCGCGCTCGTTTTCGTGGCCTGTAATGGGTCATGTCTAAGGGGCTCATGGCAGAGATTTGGACTTTGGAACCCTAAAAGCAAAAAGACGGCATGAGGGTCCATGGTCAAAGCACCCCTGCACTTGGGGTTGGCAGGGATGGTCGTGGAGCCCTTGGAACGGACTTAGACAACTATTACAGGGTTTGGAAGCAATCAAGGGGTACCAGTAGCCCTAGTTGAATTACACCCTAGTTGGGTGTTGATAGGGAAATTCAATACGGAGTACCGTTGAAAAGGGTTGGTGAACATAGGACCACGTATAATGACGTCCGCAAAGGCCTTTTGCTTGTGTCCTTTTCCGCTCTGATGGCTTTTGATGGCATGGTCATCTTCTCAATTTGGGCGCCTACAGAGTTCCATATAGCATCACGACTGAAGATATCAAAAGATTCGCTTTCAATGCTTTCGATGTGTTGTTGCGCTTTCAATGCTTTCGTCGTTGTAGTTTGAACAGCACCATGAACATTTATCACCCCATCTTTGCGGTGTAACTGTCGGCCTTCGGCGCGTGAGGAGAGGAGCTCATCCAAACACAAGCAGCGCCTTGACTGCACGGCCCAATGAGCTCAAGGCATGCTCCAGGTCAAGTCACCGGGGTCCCTCCAAGGTTCCCACCTCAGGATATGGTCAAAGTTCAAGGCTTTGTGGGTTGTGCCCAATACTTTGAGACACCATACCTTTCGTTGGTTACATGCCAATTCTCATGTAGACTATGGTGGTGCAACTACATATTGGTGAATCTGCGGACATTGATTGGCTGGAGGCAATGGGAAACAAACATGAAGGCAAAGGTATGTATGGATAGATTTGCTAGAGGGCAAACTGCGGCCATACGGGTATGTCCCAACATTGGCACAATATTTTTGTGGCGTCTTTCATAATCATCATGAATCCAAGAGAAAGCCAAGCACGTGGTGTGGCAAACGCTGCAGAGAACCATGGTCATCCCATCGCACTGACTCTGCGAGGTGCTGAGAAAACCGGGAAAGCGCCGTGATTTTGTCAGAGATTTAGGGTCGGAGAGGGAACTGAGCCAACACGAAATATGCGAGGAGAAGTGAGGACGAAAGGCGCGTTTGTCCAGGCAAGCCTCTTCCCCTTCAGGCCCTCCGCAAAGGAATCTTCATGTTGAAACTTCCTGAACGCTTCTGGCAATAGCTGGCGAATGGCTGCCCTCTAGAGCTGCGCACTGCGCAGCTCTAGAGCGCCAGCTCCAGCTTTAGTTTCACAGCCCGGAAACTCTTCACCAGTAGGATTCAAAGAGCCGAAAACCATGCAAGAAAAACCAGCAACAACTTGTGCTTTAGATGGGCGTGGCATTGCGAGGAAGGCTTGCGGAAGGGTGGCAGAAGGGCAGTTTTTTTGTTTTGTTTTCTTTTTCTCCGGAGAAATGAACATTAATTTTGCACAACCCCAATAGTGTTGTCAAATTACTTGTTGGTGTGGCTGTGAAATTCATGTGCACCACTGAACTTCAGGCATCATTGATCTTCAGAGGCACTTGAGTGGTCGCAGACCAGACAAAACGGTGCGACCTCTCAGGACATCAACTCTGTGGCAGATGCCTTCGCCGTGAACCCAGCAGCCACGCTACACCCAAGCTGCTTTGGCTGAAGGGCTGTGAGGCTTTCACGACCGCACCCACCGTGCTCCACGGGGTTTGCATCGTACCTCCTGTTTGGGTGAAAGTAAAAGGAGCCTTTGGCAAAAGAAGGAGCCTTGTTTGATTCTTCCCCAGGAGTGGGATCTTCAGATTAGATGACATGTTGCTTTCCGATTGGAAGGACACGTGCTTTCTTTTTTTTCTGATTGAGCAAGTCCTGTATTCTTGCTTTGCATGGCTGATTGCTTTACGGCTTTTCTCATTCATTTGCCAGCCTTCAGTGTGGACAGCTTCTAAACAGCTGTTTGCATGTGACTTGTCCAAGGCCGATCTTGGACTTTTTGTAAAACCCCAGCCTCGGTGTGTATTGTTCTCCCAAGAGCGTCTGTGTAGGGATCCTTCTTTTGGGCGATTGAACAGAGAAGCCCCAAACAAAAACTTCAAAGGGCACATTTGGGCTGGTTAAAGAATCACTGTTTAACCGGAATGATGTTTATGTTAATGCATGGCTGGGACCCAATCTGAGGCTCCGACCCCTCGCTTTGCACTGTCTATGAGACCTCTGATGCCTCGAAGCAGCGCGAGCCACTCGGAAAGAACACAATCCGTAAAAAAAAAAGAGTGTGGGTTCGTCTCCGGACCCACCCCCCAAATGGGCGGTTTCCATTTGCGCTTTCTCACACGCCTTGTGCTTTCCCTCTAAGATAACCTCTTTACCCTGAAGAAGGACAACCCATGTGCCGATGTAGCGCTGTGGTTGGCGATCTGTGTTACAGAGCCTGGCCAGGGGCTCATGACTTGGGCGCTGCTTTGCGCTACAGCACTTTCGAGTGTTTGTAAATGGGAAGAATGAACCAAACACAGAAAAAACAGAGGCTGCTTGTGATAGGAAGCCTGCTTTTTGAAGCCTGTCAGACTCAACATTCCGCGGGTTGGGGGATATGTTTATGAGGGAAAAGGTGGCTTTTGCCTGGCCTTTTCTACCATTGGCGCATGGAACGCCGCTTTGGCTCAGGCTTTGCCAGTTGGAGGGCTCGCTTCTGGAGCTTGCTCTGCCCAGTGACGGGCGCTGGACCCTTTGGGCCGTCTCTTTTGGCTACTCGGTTCGGCAGGTCAGAGGATGGAAAAGCACGGGGCGAGAGCGCGTCCCAATCGCCTCGCGCAAGAGGACCTAGCTTGAGGGGCTCAATGACGAACATGTTGCCCCCATGAGCATGACTCGGTGTGTTCAAGTACCCCGCAACCCCATGCTGTGATGGTAGACTGGCAGTCCATGACCTTGCATCCGATGGAACAAATGAATCCCGAACACCGCCACATATTGTTCCATCAATACTGCACCCGGATCACTGTGAAAGGGCAGTCAAATTCAGCCATGCATGTGTGTTTTTTTTGAATATTTGTTTGCAACGGTGATTGAAGCATGCGCACTATGGGCCGAATTAATTAGAATAGGTATTTGGGATACAAATAAACCCAACTTATGCCATGATACTGCACACATGTCTGTATTGCGAGAGGTTTGCCCTACCCTGTTCTTGTGATTCGCTGACTTAGAGCCAAGGGGAGCCAGCCTCAAAAGCCGTGAGTATTGGGGGCCATGAAGGGCCAGAAGCGAACCTTCCTATGGCTTCCTATGGCTCCCCCTCGGTCCGCTGGCGTTGAGTCAGGATCAACGCACCAAGGCCAAGGCCTGGGCGCGGTGCCGGTGACGTTCACCGTGGAGCCCATGTGCCACGCGCCGCAGCACGTGGCTTACGCAGCGCACCTCGGATGGCGCTTGCGCTTGGGTCAGATTTCGGGCTTGGGGCTGAAGGGCTGGGTGCTTAAATGGCCCATTGACTCATTTCTCAGAGAAAGAATAGATATCAACATTTTCCATACCCTTAGTTTGCTCCCAATAAGGTTGGGACTTGGGGGCTTGGGGCCAAAGTGCGATTGACTTCTGACAGACTGCATTTTCCTTCAAGTGTTGCCTTCTGGGGCAGTTCGATTACAAGCTCCCAACAGTTCGAACGCATTGCTGACTAGGGTAGCTTGACTTGTGTGGAATTAGTCCGGCTGCAGATTTGGCCGCTCGTTGGTTCCTCGCTTCTGGATTGCAAATGCAGGGCGATTTAAGCACCACCTTTCGGGGCAAAAGGAGACTCTACTATTTCGCTTCTAGAATGGTTTCAAGCTTTAAGCATCACCGCTGTCACCGCTTAGAGCTATTTGGATTGAGCTCTGGGACCGAGAAGGTGGGGTGTATCAATGTGCTCGACCCCATTTGTTGACCTTTGTAGATTTCCTTCCCCCTAGGCTTCCCTTTTTCAAAACGGGGGTGCCACAGGCGCCCCCCGCCCTCCCCAGTTGGGCGACTCGAATCTCGCCTAGGACGGTGAGCTGCGCGGAAGGTGCCCAGATCGAGAGCGGAGCTGTGTGCAGCGCAGCGTGTCAGCCAGGCACGGCGTCAGTGGTTTGTTTCAACCCCTGCATGGCAGGGTTTTTGCACCATTTTGTCAACCCCGCTTTTAGGTGATGCCAAAAGGAAGACCCACTCCCTTGCGGTTGGTGTTCAATTGAGCAGCGCCATAACCCCTGGCAATGCAAAGTAGTAAAGGGGGGTGTCCTATAGAATCCCCGCGAAAGCCAAAACGCAGGCCGCGAAAGCTTATCGCGAAAATAACCAAAGAAGGTCCCGCTGCGAAAGGCCCGCGAAAGCCTGCGTGCTGTGTGACAGTCCGCCGCGAAACCGTCGCGAAAGCAATTCTAGAGAACACAAAGCCCGCGAAGCAAAACATGGGGTCCCGAAAGCATCGCGAAAGGGTCCGCGAAAGCAAGTTCATAGGACCGCTTTTTACACAAGAGTATTTGGCACGGCTCAATGGAAACCAACAAGAAAATAGACAGTAGTAGGACTTCGATTCCTATCAAGGACTGATTCAGAACTTGGAGCAATGGGCCATGAAAAGCATAGGTCCCAGAAATGGATGATGTGTGCCTGAGCCTCAGCCTCGTTTTAGCATGCATACGTGGTTTGCGTTGACCATGCGTGGACACCTCAATAGCAACAGCACACCCCACCATTTTGGTAATTGCCTCAAGTCCAACGCAGAACCCCACCCCACCAGCCCACCACCAACCCCATCCCACCCCCGCCACCCCATTTTCACCAGCCCCCACCACCACCCCCCAACACCACCCTCCCCGCCCGAGGCTACGTGGCCTCCACCGCCACATTGCAGTGCGACCGCGGCCAGCTGGCGCCGTCGCAGTTCGCCTGCGCCGAGGAGTCCTGCGCCGCGCCCTGGAACGCGCCGGCCCCGGGCGCCAGGTTGGACGCATCCAAGGCATCGGTGAAAGACGATGACACTAGTCCCTGTATGTGCACAAAGACGAAGATGTGCCAGATTCAACCATGCTAAACCTGAGCTAAAGAGGGTTTGTAGATCCAACTAGTCAAAGCGCACAAAATCCTTTTCGAGATGCCAAGCATGCTCGAAGCGAAATCCAGACCATCTTCAGATCTCACCGCAAAGCAGCAGACGGATTATCCATCCCACCTCTCACTGTTCGCGTGGGCGGCAGTTTAGCTGCTTAACCATGAGCAACACAGTACAATAGGATTCATGGTGGGTTCATTTGTTTTAGCACACAATTGTGTTGGGTATGTTGCCTGCAAGTCATGCGCATGATGTTTGCCACCCAGAGGGTGTCAAGCAACATTTGTTGATTCATGACGGTGCCAGCATTCTGTTTGTTGCCTGCCACGTGTAAGATGAAGGCATGGAGTTTGCATGGCCACCGCTCAAAATGTCTGAACCGCCTCAAACTGACTGGTTGTGCTTACTGTAACTTTACAAGACCGGCATTTTATCATGTTTCAAACAATGGTGATCCCAATGGTTGTCATTCAGATAGCTGATTCACGCTGATTGTCCCAAGCTACATTCATTCTGCAGGCATCTTCAGGCGCGTATCCACAGTCCATTGTGTCCAGTTGCTTGCCATGTTTGCTCGCCGTGTGCTCCCAGCATTGAGGAACCGCTATGGTGGTCATTTTGGTGTGTGCCGTTGGATGTCTTCGCCTGACAAGTTGCCCGTTGGGTTGGAGACAGCATCAGCTGCCCTGAAATTGTTCAATGAAGGCTGGAAGATGTGGTCCATGGGCAAGGAACAGAAGTCAACTCCACCGTTGCCCCTTGACATCAAGAACCCGGCGCTGGGCAAGAAGGTGGTGCCCCGAGGCCAAAGCCCAATAACTTACCTCCGTGGCCAGCAAGCGCTTCAAGACTACAGCATTGACGATGCCAAAGTCTCCTATTGGTGTCCCAACAGACACGTAGACATTACAGTTGCCAGCTCAGACGACTGGAAGGCGTACTTTGAGATGGTGGCATCGGGGCATGCACCGGAGCTTGTTGTTTACCTTCCATGGTCTCTGAAGATGGCAGCAGGAAGCGTTGCGTCGCATGTAGCGCAACTGTCGGGAAAACACCGGGAGATGTTGAAAAATATATTCGCCGCCAAGGATGCAAAAGACAAAGAAATTGACGAGTGCGTAAACAAACTGAGCAGGGTTATGCCGCGTTTAGGAATGATGGCTTTGTGCAGGAGGAGCTGGGCTACAGCCTAGAGGATTGGAAAGAGGTTGTGAACGTTCAGGTGAAGGCTGGCTTGCCAGAAGAATTTGGAGAAGGCTTGAAGCTGGCTGCCAAAGCCAGACGCGGCAGCAACAAGGCTCTTCGCAGCATGAACATTGAAAACGGTGTCCGCTCCATTTTCTACATGAAGTTTCAAGTGACTCGCAATTCCGATGGTGAAGTGGATGCGTTGATTGCCCTCTACCGTTTGCAGGCATGCGATACAGAGAAGCGCCAAACAAATATCGAGACCGAACAGCTTTTCAAGAGGCTGGTTGAGCTGGATGCAGAGAGGGTATGGCGCAGTGAGGTGCAGCAGTTTCTCGAATCCAATCAAGCCAGTCAAGAAGAATCATGAACAAGCGCACAAGGTCGGTGCCAAGACTGATCCGCCTTTTTGGTGCGTTGAGTGGTACTCAAGCACGGTTTTGTGGCGGATGTTTGTTTTAAGCAATTCTAGACACTCGGCGGGAAGCTGTGTGAAAATGAGTTTGGCATATGTTTCTTTGTGTGCCAGTTTCTGACAGTGCTCAACCAAAGTTTGGAACTGTCATTTTGGCATTTGTCATGTTGGCATTGGGCTTTCTTTGGCATGTCGAACACTTCCCAAACTTGTCAACAACCCTAGACATCTAAAGAACAGTAAGCAACTGCACGCCTGCTTTGCGACAGTCTGGTGGCGGCGGGCTCGCCTTGTGGTTGCTTGGTGGGTCCGTTGGAAGAGTTGTTTTTGTCTCATCATTCAGCAGGTTTAGGTCAAGTTCATTTGGTCTGCCAATGCCACTGGGTGTAGGGTGGTGCTAGGGTACTTACATCTTTCTGACAGCATCAACTTGAGGTGAGCTTTTCGGCGCAGCCGTGTCTGGAGGGCTCCACTCTGGCGCCAGGCGAATCGATTCGGGGCTGGTGGGTCTGGGTGAGGTCGGTGAGCTGCCACTCGAAGCCCAGTGAAAGTTAGCAAAGGACAATCCCAACCACAAGTCGGTTGCAGATAACCGCCTGGGTAGATCTCGCAAATGCCAGGTTTCGATTATGACACTGGTCCGGGCAAATCCTTCAATGGGAATTGCGTTGTTTGCTGTGCCTCGTAAGCTGTCCAGAGAGTTCTGCGTGAACGATTGGGCGCTAGGTCAGCCACCCAGTTCCATTTACTGCTCTAGATTGTATTCAAGGGACACCACGTGAAGTCTGATAAACTGCTTCACTGGGCTTCGCCAAGCGATAGGATTCATCACTTCCCGGTTTTCTCCGACGGCCCCTGAGCAGTTGGGTCCTGGATTGATGAACCAGGGTCTATGATTCCGTGTTCAGTGGTTGAATGTTGGTTTTGCGGCAGACAATGGAATATCGTCATCAATCAGGGGGGTGTGGCCCAACCAGACGTTCAATGAGAATCCAAGAAGGGAAGCTTCGTCATGGGGCCGTCTTTCAGCAGAATCAGCGCAATACATCCTTGTCAGGTCAATGGCCAATGGGCGAGTCAGTCACGAACAATCTTGAAAGTGGACAGAAAGTGATTTGTAGATGATGGCCGTCTCGCTTCCATGATTCCAGAAGGCTCTGCCTTGCAGGTTTGCTTTCTTTCCTGTGGATGCTAATGACTCTCCAAGCAGCTTCTAATGCCATGTTTACCTGTGTTTCTTGCTGTCATGGACTGTGATTACCACTCGTGTTGTTGCCGAACGCATACGGCTGGCAACTTGTGCGATCTGGGACTTTGATGATGGCGGGCCGTGCGTAATTTGCTCTCCTCAGAGCTGATATAGCAACCTCAGGGGAACCAAAACACCATTAACTAAGGAACATGATTCTAGGCAAACTCTAGAAACTTCACTGAAGTGGTTGAAACCAAACAAACACATAGACAACACCTGCTGGACTGGGAAGAAGCAGCCAGCCGGAACTTAAGAATGCGTCCGACGCGACGAATCAGTTGACGACCCAAAGATTGCGCCAGGCGGAATCTGCACTACTCAGTGTGAGAGTGGCTACACGCCATCCGAGAGCACTTTGAGCTGCTCCAGAGGCCTTCCCGGCTGGGGGGGGAGAAAGGGGGAGGATGGGGGGGGGATTGCCGGCTTAGGAATCTGTTGCCGAAAAGCCGTATTTGTTGTTTCAGGGTTTCCAAGGAAACCACAAGGAGATGGACACATGTTGAATTATGCCGGGCACATTTAGCACCCTGTTTGGTGGAATGGTTCTTAGTCACTTTGGTTGATCCCATGCAGCAGCAGCATCGGCGATGTGAGCAACTCAAGCTGATGTCGCCTCCAACCAGCTTCGCTTGGATATTTGTTTTGAAGGGAAACACTGGGACAGCCTTGAAAGTGGCTCCCGATTTCAAGAAACAGCCACTTGAAGACAAGCACAGTCAAAAGGCTGGGTTGCACATCGATGTTGAGGTATAGACAACTGCGGATGTCAAATTGAGCAGCCGACACCTTGGTCGGCTCCCAACAGGGAGCCTGTTTCGGACAACCCCCAAACGCAGACCCAAAGATCAAGGGTCCTCGGTGTCATCCGGGAAAGGGTGTCGCTGATAAACACATGTTTCCCGCTCTCGTTCGAAACGCAAGGAGGATTCCTTACATGAAACGCGGATGGGCCTCTTTCTAAGTCGTGTTCCTCCAAAACACAGGTCGCACTACATAAGAGGATCTGTTTAAGATTATTCACAAACACGTCACCAAAACCCAGCCCCCTGGTGTTTGTGTCAGTTTCCCCAAGGTCCTCGAGTCGGGTCCCAGACATGGCGCCCACTGCTCGAGGCCGGCTCACTCCCAACGCCTTCCTTTGCGCGGAGTCCGCCTGCCCGTCGCCGGACGTGATGCACGCCATCAGCAGCCATGGCTGCAGTTAGTGGTTGCACCGCTGGGCAAAAATTGGTTGAACCTGATACCTCATAAAGAGGGTTATTGAGTGTTACAGAGTGTTCCTGAGTGCAATTGCTTTTAATCTCAGTTTTCCCCTCCCCATTACCCCTCTCCCCTTGCACCCTATTTGGCTTGCCTGTTGACAGCCGAATGAAGCAAGCCACATAAAAAGCCACGACAAAGCCCGTTGCAGATCCTGTGCTCCTTTGTTTGTAGATTGCCCCAATCAAACCCAGCAACAAGTTAACCTTGCGCGAAGGGTCGGATCAGTCTGGCAGACTCCAGCGCAGCACCCAATATACTCTATGTCCGGATGACTGGCTCAAGGGAGCGCAGATAGTGAGCGTTTGTCGCAGGGTTGTTCCTGCTTTGCTGGCATGACAAGATGGGCTTGAATGCTCCAACGGTAAGCATAAAGCAAAGAATGATAAGATAAGTCATTCTTGTCAAGCAGAAGTTGCACTTGCTAAATGCAGCCGATGTATGCCCATGGCCTTTCGCTCATGCAGCCTCCTACCCCTGCCTACGTTCGCAAGGTTGTATCCCCAACTGACAGCAGGCCGCTGCCAACCCTCTTGACTGCTGTCAGGCAGGAAAGGGATGAACAAGTTTTAGACATCAACCCATATCACCAAACCGTTGATATATTAAAAACGTTTAAACACGTTTACAGGCCCTCCCTTAAATTTGTTTAAACGTATTTAACCACATCCCAACCGAAAGATGTTTGAACATGTTTCAACAAGTCCATACTGCAGCGGTACGACGTAAGAAACTAGCCATGGGCAAGCGTGCTGGAGGGCCTCTGGGAGAGAGATAGTTTAGCGTACTGTGTTGAGGCACGTTTTCACACCGTTCAAACAGCCCCTGAGGTAGCAACTTTTTAGGCGAACTATTTAAACATGATTATAGTGTCTAAACAATGTCTACACGACCCTTGAGGGACACATTGTTTAAAGATGTTCAAAGTCAGGTTCAAGGGTTACAGAGGCACACACTGTTTGGTGAACCGCTTAAACATGTTTAATTGTGGAAGTGATGTGTACACGACCCCTGGCGGACCGTTCACACACTGAACGGTTAAACAACCCGACACCCGCATTTTCCTTCCTGTGTGGTGGTTGTGGTTGTGGTTGTGGTTGAGGTTGTGGTTGTGGTTGTTGTGGTGGTGGTGGTGGTGGTGGTGGTGGCGGTGGTGGTGGTGGTGCTTTGATTTGCTCGTGCCAGAAGGCTGCTTCTTGCAAAAATGGCTCAGGGAGCGTTTAAACGGACACTGGCGCAACTTCCTGGACTGCGCCAAGGGAGCGCTTGAACAAGCTCCCAAATGTTCACCTGGATTTTACTGTGTGTCAAGGGAACGTGTAATCAAATGCTGTTTAAACTTAAATAATGCTTAATTATCAGTTTGTTTAAGCCGTTTAAACATGAGCCAGCGACATTCCGACTGTCAGGCCTACGTCAAGCACTCAGAAGTCTTGTGAAGAAGGCTTGCAGGATGATGAGGAAGATGAAGAGGAAGGCCAGGGCCCCAGCTTGGAGTACACATTCTGGGGCGTCGATTTCAAACCCATTCTGCCTGCCGCACTTGCATCGTCAACAATTATTGGAGCCATATGCATGATGACGGTGCAAATTCCGATTCTCAGCCGAATGACCTTGATGTCGCAAGCTGCACTTTCTGCAGCTTTTTCTGTACTCTATGCTGTCACGCTGGGGTGCATGACGTACTGCGCTTTTGCGGATCCTGGTCAAGTCAAGCGGACGCGCAACGCGCAGCTGGGAATGGACCTTGAGAAAGGCATGCCCAGGCGCGCGCACAAGTCGTGGCAGTATCCCAGGCCCATCCGCCGGTACGACCACTACTGCAAATGGCTCAAGAATACGATCGGTCTTCTGAACCACCGGGAGTTTGTGACACTGCTGATGTGCTTGACCTTGATCTCTTTCCTGGGAATTATGATCGACTTGTGGGTTGCAGTCCTTGTGGCCGAGATGGATGACCTGCAGAGAGAGATCATTGTCGTGCTGCATTTGGCCTACTCGATTGCCTTGCTGGCGATTGAGGGGCCCATGCTCAGGATCCATGTGGGCCTCATCTCCAGGAATGAGACGGCGCAGGAGTGGAAGAAGAAGCAGAATTATGTGGCGCACGACACCAGCCTCGGTGACGACGTGCCAGTGGAGCAGTTGGATGACGATGAGTACAACAGCTTGTTTGACCAGGATGCCTTTGTGTATGATCGGACAATGAATCCATTTGACAAGGGCATCTTGTCAAACTGCTGGAGTTTCTGGTGCATGCCTCGCTGGCCAGCAGACGAAAACGGAGAGTGGTGACAGAGGTCGAGAAAACATGTAAGATACTCGCACCAGTACCATTACGGAGCCTTGCGCTTTTGTCCAGGCTCGTTTCACTATGTGGTGATCAACAGGGTCGCGCATTTGTACTATATTTGCTGCTCAAAGAACGGAGAACAAAAACAAAACGAGACCAAGCCACGCTGTCAATGCGTGGGAGGGATTGCAGAAGAGAGTTGCCCATCGTTGTTTTCAAACGTTTTGGGGTTCTGTTCCAGTTGTTTAAAGATGTAACCTAGAGATGGGATGGGGAGAGTACTGTGCAGCAAATGGGCTGGCCCTGTCCAGTGGCATGAGTGGCTCCTCATCCCAGATGTTTTGTGATCTTAGCCAACAAGAAGAGGCTTTCTTACCTAGGGACTCTCTTGGGGGACATAGTTGAAAAGAAGCCACTAGAAACCCGATCATTTGGCACAGCGAAGGGCTGTGTTGCTTTTGGCCATGGGGAAACCGAGGCCCCTCCTGCAGTGGTCTCGCTTCGGTGAAGAGCCGGGAGACGTGCATCCCCCAGTGCCAGGACGGGCCTCTGGCGTGCGCATTTAGCACGAGGTCAAATGTTCCGAATGTTGAAACGGGATATCGGGGAAGCCATCGGAGAAGCCAACGGAGAAGCCAATGCTTTAAAAACCATTTTGTTTTTTTTTCATGGTGGCATACAGACGGCAGTTTTTTTGATCGACCGACCCCGAAATATTCGACTGGCAATGAATGTTCCATCCACCGCTCCGAGATCTAGATTGGATTTGCCGATTCAGATGGCTGCCTGCAAGAGCACTGTGGCCATGGAGCATTTGGAAGACGGATCAAATTGGATATCATGTAGGTGCACCAAAAGGTGACAGAACGTTCTCAGTTCTCAAATCGATTTCCTCGAGTTGTTACTTGTTGGGAACGCCCTTGCACGTGTCTTGCAGAGAGCTATCTGATATCTAGATTGAAATGTAGCTGCACATGTGCGGGCATGTTCACTGCAGGGAAGTTGTGGGCAGCTGTGCAGCTGAGATCATTGCAAGCGGAGCAGGCAAGTTCCTGGTTGCTGGACAGTTTTGCGCGGCACCATGGCTTTTGAAGCAACCGCTCAAGAAAGCACTTAGAGACTTAAGATCTCAAAACTGATGATATGCAAACAACAGGCAGTGAGATCTGCTTGCCTTGAGACTGGTAGAATCCTGAGAGGCACTGCTAAGTATCCATGATAATATGTGTTCACTTTGGCGTGCTTGCTGGTTTCAAGCATAAGCTTCTCGTGGTCCAGCAAATCCGTGGGCAAAAAGCGCCGCCTGCAGCCAATTCGTGCTTCAGTCAGTTGAATTTAAGCCCAAATTAAATTCTGCTTTTGCAGCCTGTTGCACGGTGATTTGCCCGCGAAGCCGCCATGGTGGTGCAAACTGCGCGAGCAGCACCCCCACAGAGCCAGTTCATGAGCGGGCCTCATGGCAATTACGTCTTCGTGGGTTCCCAGTGCGCACCATCCAGGACCCCGGTGCGTCAGGCAGCCCCGCCCGAAGTGAGCAGGGTGCTTGCAGAGGCCACGCCAGTCCGTGAGCGGGACGTGAAGCGAGTGGTTTACACCGAGACAAAGACTGAAGTACGGGTGACCCGCGCACCACGGGAAGACGTGAAGCGGGCGCCAGAGTCCAAGCCGATGCCGATCATTCGAAGTGCGGAGACGGCTCAAGTCCGAACAAACTTGGGTGCAGTCACGGCCCGGGGGACAGACGAGACGCTGGGAGTGAGAGCAGCTGTTCGCACTGAGGCTGTGCCGGAGGTGCGAAGAGTCATTCACACCACCGCCTCCCCAGTGACTCGAAAGGAAGCCGTTTACGGCACCGTGACTCCAGAGTCCGAAGCGAAAGCATGCCAAAGGGATGCTCATGCAACGCCTTTGCCTGAGAAGCCAACCGTGCGGCGGATCGTTTACACCACCAGACCAGATGAGGCGAACGTTTCCCAGGCCTACGATGGCTCGCTGTCTGCACGCTATAGCACTAGCAGGCTGCCACAGGCTGCTTTTGCTCAAAGCGTCCCAGTTGCGCAGTGGCACCCCTTTAAGGAGAGGGTTTCCGTCTTAGCCTTTCCGATTCTATTTTCCCCAAGGAAGCCCAACCGGCATGCGTTTTTGTTTCTGATTTATCCAGACCTACTTGAAACCTGACACCCGCATGCCTCAGGCTTTGCAGAATCCCCGGAGAAGCACTCGCCGCCCAAGACCCAACCAATGACAGAGGCGGGGAGCTTGTTTGCAGAAAGTCAAGTTTAGATTGTTGGACCTCCACAGACCTCTCTAAAACCAACCTGTTTGAAGCGCTCATTTGTTTTTGTTTGTTTCGTTTCTGCAGCCAAAGTAAAGTGCAAACTTTCCACAAACATGGGACTTTAAGTAGTGGTCCCAAAACTGGTTTGTTTTCAGCTGGTTTCCTTTTGCACCCAGTTGCGCATGCAAGTGACAGCACCACTAGGCAGGGATCCACGATTTTAGAACACCCATCTGTGTTTCTTACTATGTGCTTTATTGAGTGCCTCTTCGGCTTCCTGTTGAGCGCTAGGTGCGGTGGCCCTAAACGGGGATCCCTGAGAGGGCTTTGTTGTTGGTTGCTACTGCACGTCAGCAGGGGCACCAACTTGTGACCACTCCGAAAGAACGAAGGCACCTTATTTCAGGAAGCTCGCTTGGAATCCCAGGTGTCCACTGTTCCTCACTTTTGTGCGGGCGCATCTTCAATCTCAACCACAAAACATATGTGTGTTCTCCATAGAACACCGGCAAGTTGCAAGTGAGAATCAGGGACCTATGATAGGTGTCGCTCCAACTTTGGAGACACGACGAGACATATATCCAGCTGCCCATGTTCGGCGTGTTTGGCCTCCTGAACTTCAGGAGACTCTGTCGTAATGCAAGCGGACCAATTCCAAATTGTTTGCCTCATGTTTGTGTCCGTGAATAAACATCAACATAGAACAATTCAGTTTGTCTCCACATCAGAGAGGCCCCAACATGGGTGGTTCTCTTTGGGCCCTCCAAACCGCCCTGAATGAAGACCTTCATAACAGGGACGTACTTTTAGCTCCGCCTCTTTCTCTTTTGCAAAGCATGGTTGCAGAAGGGACAAAGTGCTCTCTTTCCAACAATCATGGCAGTGGACAGGAGCCTTCCCCAAAAAGAATGTAGTCTTTCAGAGACACCTGTCAAATCCGTGATTGTTGAAAGGGGTTGTCATGGCCATCAATCCCCCCGCTGGCGAGGCGTGGCGGGTGGTCAAGCATTTGTGCCCCTCATGCACCGAGAAGTTCGAAACCTTGGAAGAAGTCCGGGCCCATTGGCTGGAGCATCATCAAGGTGTCAAGGCAGGGGCAGGGCCCGGTACCTTTCAAGGGGCGAAAGGCAGACCTGTGTCAGTTCCCTTGAATGGAAACCAGAAGGATGTTTCTCCAATTGGTGAACCGTCTTATTGGCTGGAGCATGTAAAGTGCAGCCAAAGCAAACAAGCCATCTTTAGGACCCCAATCTTGAGAGCGTCCAAAAGGAGATATTGTTCAAGCAATAGTGGCTTCATCGTGCTACACCAAGGGGTTGTGCCAGCGCCAAGGAGAGCGACAGGTTTGCCTAGTGAATTCCCCTTGTGAAAGGATGTTAAAGGACTTTTGCAGTTCTGTGGGCCCTGCATTTTCAATCACAAGGGGGTCAAAGGGGAAAGGCGTTCCCCGTGCCGAAACCGCAGGAGGGGTGAGATTTAGCACGTTTTGGCTCATACGTGTTGTCCTTGTGCTGTGGCTCGAGCGTTCAGGACTGGCTCTCGACTCAGTGGGAATGGATAGAGCGAGTCGGGCCAACCCCTCCGTCAACTTAAACGGGGGGCTGTAAAGCTTTTGTTTTCACTGGCCATTTCTCACAGGAAAACATACAATGGTTCCAGACTCCTATTAGGAGTCTTTGGCGTCCAGGCAAACTTTGTGCCAACAGGTTGCCGACACTTCGCCGCGCTCCAATGAGACGTCGCCCAAGAGCTCGCCCACGGAGGCGCCGCCGGAGCCGCAGAAGGAGCCTGAGGTGCCCGAAGTGCCTGAGGTGCGAGTGGATACCATGAAGGCGACCGAAGCCAAAAAATGTGTGTGTCTAGGGCGACACACAAATTGTGGTGCTCCTTTGGATTTCCTGTCAAACCAACCTTAAAAAGAGAACCCTTGCAGAACACACGCGTGAAATGGAGGCATGTTCTTTAGGTTTGCCTCCAACGACCTCAAAAGGTTGCCCTCCAGCATAGACACCCAAATCAAATGGTTGAACGTTGAAAAAGTCAGAGGTCCTCAGGTTTTCCTTGTTGGGCTTGTTAAAACGATCTTTCTTTGGGCGAGGTGAAGTTTAAGGAGGACGTATTGTATGAAAACCCTAGCGAACAGATCTTGAACAGTGAGGTAGCACTTGTCAAGCATTTGTTGGTATTACTATGTCCGCCAGCGACTGGCATTGTTCCATGGCTGTCTTTCAGACTGCTCTGGACTGCTTGAGGCACGAGTGGTGGAGGTGGACGACCAGGGCAAGCCCGTGCTAGTTCCATGGCCAGCCTTTGCCCGTTTTGTTGGGGCTTCCATGAGTTTTCAAGCCGTCCCAGTTCTTCCAGTGGTCGAATCAAGCTGTGTCACACTTGGTAGGCAAGCAGGTTTGCTCAGCCTCCCGTTGCTGAAGTGACTCAACTCTCACTTTCACAACGAAAGGGTGACAAAGCAATGACCCATGCCAGGACGTGTACCACAAGGTCAACCATGCCTTTTGGGCGTTGCAGGTTTGGTTTTGTCGTTGTCATGTGTCTTTTGTTTGGGTGCCACAAATTGCTCGCGACTAGTTGTCTGTTCCGTCAATGACCACACAAGTGGATGGAAGTTTGTTGTGTGTTTGCTTGTTTGTTTTGTGTTGTTGGTGTGTTTGTTTGTTTGTTTGGTTGGTTGGTTGGTTGGTTGTTTGTTTGTTTGTTTGTTTTTTTGTTTGTTTGTTTGTTGGGTTGGTTGGTTGGTTGGTTTGTTTGTTTGCTTGCTTGTTTCCAGGCCCAGTTTTTACGTGATGGTATCGGCGAAAACCGTTGCTGACCTTTGTGCTTCGGCTGAGCCACTGACAACTGTGAGTTGAGTCTACAGGCCAGGGGGATGGCCTCAACTGTCCCATGCCCAGGTTCGACGCCAGGAGGGGCCCTCTAGTCGGACCATTGTGACATTGGAGGACGGCAGGCGGGCGGTTGTTAACAGTGAGTCAGTGTGTCAGTGTGTCAGTGTGTCAGTGTGTGTGTGTGTGTGTGTGTGTGTGTGTGTGTGTGTGTGTGTGTGTGTGTGTGTGTGTGTGTGTGTGTGTGTGTGTGTGTGTGTGTGTGTGTGTGTGTGTGTGTGTGTGTGTGTGTGTGTGTGTGTGTGTGTGTGTGTGTGTGTGTGTGTGTGTGTGTGTGTGTGTGTGTGTGTGTGTGTGTGTGTGTGTGTGTGTGTGTGTGTGTGTGTGTGTGTGTGTGTGTGTGTGTGTGTGTGTGTGTGTGT